TACGAATACACGAGCACATATCGGTATGTGCCGATACGTATTTTAACCGACGAGAAAAACCCAGAGGTCTCGTAACAAGTCGTCCTCAAAAAGCTGCACGACAATTTATTATGAGAGGTACGTAGGAGCGCTTGTCCCTGATTCATCGACACGCTTACCTGCATGGCAACACCGGGAAACCCCAAACGTCGGTGTCACTTACATGAATAGACAGATTTTATTTGTGTATATGTAACGATGCTTGTATTAATTTTACTCATTGTTAAACTATGCCAATATTAGCGGCTGCGAAGGTGAAAACTGTCGAATTTCATTCAGCCGTTACGATTTATCTGGGTTGCCAAAACCTACCTGAACTTGGTGTATTATAGTATATATATTTTTTGACAACCTCTGTGGTCGAGTGGCTTTCAATTGATTGATTCATCAGTTTTCATGGTGGCGCCATCTCTGAGATCCCAGATTATCGAATCTCCATCGACCCGTTCGGGTCGACACCAGGTTAATGGAGAAACTAACGTTTCTATATTATCTCGGATCTGGGTGTTTGTGGTACCGTCGTTGTTTCCGATTTCCATAACACAAGTGCTTTAGTTACTTTGGGATCAGAGCAACGTATGTGATGTTGTTGTTATTTAACATCTGATTTTTTTTATTTATTCAATTTCAAAACGGAACAAAGAAAACTTGGAAAGACCCAAGGCAAAAAATCTAGCGGCATTTAAATTTAGTGGTAATGGTGATGGCTCTACATAAAAAAGATGGAAGTATTTGTATTCAATAACAGTGTACTTGCAGGATTTAAAACATAGCGTAACAGCAACCTGTTATGGCAATCTGACATCATCAATAAGGAAAATAATATTTTTCATACAACAATACATGACCTGAGTACCACATATGAGGTTATCAATAAAGATAATATCCATTAACGCAACAGTGACTCACGCCAGTGTACGTCAGAGGTATTCCCGTCGCATGCGCATTTACTGAGAATTATCTCTAATGCATAATGCACGAATGTCCATCCCAAAGTGGGCCTTGTCGGAGAAAGCCTACTTGCTGACGTCAGCCTGACGGCACATTTATTATACAACAACCGGATCGCACTAATATGTATCGTTTAGACTCATTCGGAATTTCATAAATCTTTAAAACGAAGGTAACGTTTATTACAAAAAAATCGACGAAAGATTTGCCTCCTTTGTGTGTAAATGTACCAATCTTTGACATTGTCCCAATGTATGACACTTCTGCAATTAATAAGAAAACAGATATTGATATAACTACAAAACCGTGTTAAACGTACTAGTATGATTGGTGCAACGGGCTGGTGTACTAGTAATGGCATAATATAAATTCCGTTTAGAAGCTTTCATCGATTCACTCAATATTTTTTCAATGTAGCGACTGTTTTTGCGAACAGGTTGAATGTGCGTTGGTGTTCTTACAAAAACCGTTAAGACTTTTGAGTTAAATAGTTTGAGTGCATTTATTAGTCGGAATTTTGTTTGTTATCGGTAAGTGTTTATTAAAACTATTAGATAACTGTACAAATAATTTGTTTTGTTGATGCATATCGTTCATTTTTTTTTTATTTTAGAGGCCTGTCAAACACTGGTGCAAAATTTCAAACTAGTGTCAGTCCAACCATGTCAAGCACTCGTACAAATGATTTTTTTTTTAGATCTTTGCGATTTAAAGCTCTGAGTGGCACTGCAACTGTAATGGACAGGCGTGTAGCTTACCGTCAGGTGCACGGCTAGTTCGTTCCGTCACTTGATATTACAACAAAAATTTAAAAAAATGTGTATGTATTGACTTTACACATTTAAGAAAATAAGGTCTCAAGTCTATTGATACCACCACCTTTCCCACTCTGTAGCTTTCTCAAGCGTACGAATAGTGCTCTGTACGGCACAATGACAGTATGTGAAAATACATAAGTAGCGTATAAATTGCACCTGTACTTCTGAGTGAATATATACTAACAAGCTATTGTCTACAGTTCTAGCTTCCATTGCATTGTTAGCCTATGTCATTGTAACGTATTATTAATATTTAACATTTTCCCACTTATCATTATGCTATTGCAATGAAAAGCTTACTGAATACAAAATTAAAATTATTTAATTTCATTTTCTATCGTCACTACGCGCTGATGCAGGGCAAAACCTTCCCTTCCATTCCTGCACTAATCGCGCCTTAACGCCGCTGCGTTAAGCATCATTTTTTTAAATACCAAGTGACGAGACGAACAAGTCGTACGCCTGGAGATAAGCGACACGCCTGTTCATAGCAGTTGCAGTACCACTCAGAACTTTAAATCGCAAAGATCTGAGAGACATTGGCACGACGCCCGTCACTTTGAGACATCAGTTAATAAGTTTCGTTTGCCAGTAATTTAAAAAAAAAATATCATGAAACATTTTCAGTTCTTTTACATTTTTTTAAATTAGTGTACAGTTCTTAACCTAAGATAGTTACGAACTGTCTAATGATTAAAAAAAAACACAATGCCGGCCGGCATTATTTTTTCCGACATCTTCAACATTTATAGTCGTATTTCAGCCAACTTACCCAAAACCTCAACAAATTACACACTTAAATCGTCCTCATGAATCACTCTGTCTATTGATCGAAACCGCATGAAAATCCGTTCAGTAGTTTTTGAGTTTATCGCGATCAGACAGACGCGGTTGTGATATATGGATTATACCTTACGTTATAGATATGTAACATCTATATTTTATACATAAAATGCCCGAAAGTGATTTAGGAAGATTATTATTATACGATGCGGTGCAGTGCGGCCCGCCATAATGTGCGTGAGCCTTTAGAATATTTAGGTACTTTGAGTTATTTTTTGTTATCATCAGTGAATATTTTGTCACGATTGGCGGCCCCTAAAATCTGGCCGCTCTGGGCCCGGGCTTACTGGGCCTTAGGGCAAATCCGCCACTGCATAAAATAAACATGTGTTTTAGTTTTAAAACAATAATAAATTTACATACGTTATAATAAATTTACGTTATATTTATGGCACTTCATCTCTCATCAACTTAAATTACGCAAGTATTTATGTACGCATAATGTTACAAGTAATGTTTCAAATCACTTTACAAATGTTTCATGTAAATATTTCCAATTAACTGTGTTTTACGTGTGAAAAGTTTTTATTTTCATAAATCACCAAAAGCTGTAGAACCAAATTAGCGTTCACATTGAAAAGGTAAGTCTTATTTTTTCTTTTTTCCAATCTAAATTTAAGGAGCTCTACCTTATAACAAGATAGTAATGTCGCTCCGTAATGCTGCTTAATATATATATCTAACGTAGATTCAGACTACTAAAAAAAAGAAACGATGGCATACTAATACCTTTCATTTCTAAATTATTTGTGTCACTGGTTTCAAACGAGTTAAATGTATTTTTTTTTTCATAAAGGCGAGGCCGCACCTGGAAGCGTAACGTTTGCATAAGGCCATCGTACAATACGCAGCTAGAATAATAATTCAGGCTATTTGTTCTACTTTAATGCATTTGAGGCCAGTATTTGGAATCCTTTTAAATAATAATTGTAAATTAAACATTACTCAATACTTTCATTGCAAAATGTAACAAAGAATAAAAAATAAAACCATTTAGTATTAATTACAACAGATTTCTATCATAATTTTTTTTACTATCACAATTTAGTAAAGAGTGTCTGAGTACATACCTCACGGTAACTATACTCATAGGCATATTTAGAGGCACGCTAAAAAGGGTAGTAGGTCTAGAGCTCCTTGTGAAAGAGTTCGTCCAGGAAATTACTGCCACCTTACCTATTTCAGGAACTTGTCAACTTAAGTCTCAGGGTGTCGGGCAATGCCTCTAAGATCTTTGCGATATCATGTAGCTTACCACCAGGCGCACGACTTGTTTGTCCTGCCACTTATATTATAACAAAAATGTTGATAAGATAACAATGTTCTTATGAATCACTGACCATAATATAAGACCTCAATGCAACCTGTTTTAGCGTTTCTCTAAATATGACTATGAGTATATATCGGTTTAGCGTATCTAAGTACCTACGTGAAATCCAACTCATGCCAAGTCAAATAAACAAGCAATCAACAGGGGAAAATGTTGCGTCACCAGATTCAATTACGTAGAACAATTTTCATTGACCTCATTAGATACAGGTTGATTAGAGGGATTCATGTGTAATATTTGTAGCTACGTCGAAAAACAGTTATGATTCAATGAGTTACCTGTGTTCCAAGTTTCGTAAAGTGAGCTATACTATGTTCCGGTTTTGACGGCCATGGGTGCTGGTGAAGTTACAGGCCAATGAGACTTGTCAACTTATGTCTCAGGGTGACAAATCTTTGCGATTTAAAACACTGAGTTACTCTGAGGTACTGCAACTGTTATGGACAGGCGTGTCATTTACCACCAGCTCACAGATACTTAATATGACTAGGTGCACGACTTGTTTTACCCGTCTTAGGGTATCATAAAAAAAAGACAAAAAAAACGTGGGGGTTGTAGATTTCGTTTCGCTGATTCCAGATCCGTTAACAACTCCATTTCGTTTAAAATGACCATTATATTGTTTATGAGAAGGACGGCAGACTTAACCTCTGTCTCACTTGATGGAAAATGGCGATGAGGTCGACGATGGAACATGCACACCTAAATATAATACCTGTTCAGTCACTCGTTGTTAAAAAGGCCCATGTTATACCGTTCCGGGAACAAGTCTGCAGGCAGGGAATTCCACCTCATAGCAGAGCTGTTCACCATATAAATCGTCGCCTTACTTTCTCAAACTCGTGTCTTAAAGCACAAACTAACTGAAATGGAAAAAGTGCATTGTATATACAAATGTTGCAGACTGATTTCATATCACATTTCCTTTATATTCACACACTAGCTTTTATCTATTCTTAAAGTAATGCATCCAAATTAACACCCTTGATAAGAAAGTTGAAATAAATAGAAAGTTTTGCCATCTCCTGAATAATCACTCTTTACAGGATACGTGTTTGAGAAAGTAAGGCATCGAAATGTGGAGGCGATTTGAAATTGTTTTGAGTTGTTAAATGTTCAACAATATTTTGAATTCTTTTACATATGAGTTCCCTTTTGCTTGGACTGTACTGACTTGTAAATATATTTTTTTTACTACCTACTACTACAGACTGCTTTGCATATTTTTGATAATTAATTTTACTATCACTCAATGTTTAAAAGAAACTAATAAATAACTTCAATGCAAAATACAGAAATATGCATATTTTTGATAATTAATTTTACTACCACTCATTGTTTAGAAGAAACTAATACATAATTTTATAGCGAAATACAGATAAATGCATATTTTTGGTAATTAATTTTACTATAACTCATTGTTTAAAAGAAACTAATAAATAACGTTAAAAATACAGACCAATAGTTGCAGAGATTTGTCTAGCTCCCAAACTAGAATCGTCTGTACTATGAGTAGGTCTTACGTCCGTCAAGTGTGTTGCCTCAAAACAACAATAACTAAGTCTATTATACAATAAACTTATAAAATATGATTAGTAGAACACAAAACAGACGTGGTTTATATTTAATTTTCGTACATTAATAAAGTTACATGATCCAGTTTCAATGTAGAAACACAACAAGAAACAGCCCACTTCAGTCCCAATAAAGAACAATCAAAGAAAATTTACAAAACAGGATAAACTGCACTATTGTTTAAAAAACTCTAAGGAGGGAGTGACGATGAGTGATACTGAGAAATGCATCACCCACTTACGTTTAAGCATGTTTTCTGAATAAATAACCTGTCGACCTACAACTGACGGCCATCATCAAAATCCGGCTCCGACTTTAACCATACACAATTAAACGTGACTTACAAAGAAATTTGTTTAGTGGAGTATTTATTTGACATACTTAAATAATTAATACTAAAGAACAATAATTAATAGCTGCGTTACTTATATGACACATTTCGCGGTCTTTATTAATAACTATAGAGATCTAATTAATTAGTTTGAAATGTAGTTATTAACCGATTTCAAAAAAATAGGAGGATCTCAATTTGACTGTATTTTTTTGCATGTATGTTACGCGATAACTTTAGGTAACTTATCATTAGTGAACCGATTTTGATGATTCCTTTTTTTGTTAGAAAGAGAGTACCTTAGTAGTGGTCTCATTTAAGAAAATATTCCACCGCTAAGGATGGCAAACTACGGGATCAATGACTTTTGAGGTCGGTTTTTTTAGTACTCTGTACTGAGGTTATTTTAAAACTAGATTTCATTAGTGTTGCCCAAAATCAGTCTTGGTCTTGCAGACTTGGTATTTTTCATGGTCTTAATTTTGTAAAAACGCAAGACCAAGACCACCTAATTGTAGCAAGACCAAGATCAAGACCGTACCCTCCAAAATATAGGCAAGAATAAGACTGAGTCTGCAAGATTCTAAAGTCTCGCAGTCCTTTTTTAGATTTTTGCTGTATTTTTATATTTATGTACAGTCAACGGCAAGTCAACCTATCGAAAAATGTTATTCAATTGACATTGAATTCTATGAGTACACGAGGAGTATGGACATACATCATAAAAACGCAAGGTGGCTGTCGTTAGTGTTGCCGTGCATATTTCGACGCTATATTGTTCTCAGCTCCACGCAAATATTATATTTTAAAATTAAAGTTTAAAAGAATCGTTATTAATCGTAATACTTTTTACAAAGCACATCATCGTCAGACATTATGATAACTTGCGGTTTAATAATCGGGAATGATATTTTTGCAGCTCTTCTAGCTGGTTGCAATACATCAATAAGCCTTCTTATTTTCAGGTACATATAAATTATTTTCGAGAACGATCGTCTTCATAATGTATGGAAGGTCATGGTACAGGCCTATCCAATTAACCTTTTTAAATGCTCTAAATGTGTCATATCAAAGTCAGTAAAATTGGAAAATTTTTAACGTGGGAAGGCTCCGAACTGCATTATGCTTGTATAGTGAAGCGTCATGCTTATTATGGGATCATAAATGTTTAGATGGCTACAGTATTCGTATAGACTACATTAGTTTTGATTTATCTATGGTATAGTGCATACGTAAACTGACAGATTTACGTCACTAAATATTGCGAAAATTATGACTTTTTTTTCCTTATTTTCTTTATTGCATTATCAAAACAACTGGAGTCGTTAACATAGATGTAAAACACTATATAATAAAAAAAAATACCGTTGATTAGTATGAATGAGAGCCGTGCGGGGCTAGTACGATGATTGTTGAAATTCGTCATAGTAAATTAGAAAGCGTGCTGGTCATACAACCGTCGATTTTCACTGGAAATACACAAATAAGGATCGACATTTATAGAATTACTATTTTATCTAATGAGGTATATAAACAGCATCTGACATATTACAATGCAGTAGTTAATTACGTAGTTTTTTAAACCAATTAGCGGAAGTTTTGAATAACTTATGTACAACTACGAAAACAGATTTTATATAATACATGCAAAATCGGAATATTTTCGATATACTTTAAAGAAACAGAGAACTAAAGATATATGATCACCTATTAACCACGTATTTCAGATTAGGTAATATATATGTAACATTGAAAAACTTAAATAATTGAACAACAAACAACTCACCGATAGTTGTTCTTTCGGACGCGCTCTTCCTTAATTATCTCCTAAACAACTTAAATTCACGTTTTTTCAAATATTCTATAATAAAAGACGTGCTTGGCACAATCGACAAATTGAAATGGCTATTTTATATCTCTATTTTGTACACTGTTATATTGACGTTGGTTAAATGTTTGCGACACGTAACGTGTTACCAGTGCTCTGAGGCAGACTGAATGAGGGCCGGTTGCTATCCCCTTTTATGTTTGTGTTGGTAAACTGGTATTCATTCGATCGATGCCAGCGCCGGCGCAGCAGGTAAGCAAAATGAAAACAGTTTTTGTTTAGTCGCCCACATAATGCGTATAGGCGTTAGAACAGTGTGCAGATTAACATCTCAGGTAACTAATAATACAAGTGCACCGTTACTTTAATCCATTGGAGTATTTTTCACTTTAAATAACACAAGAGAGAGTGTAGGTTACTGCGTTCGGTTTTAAAACAGAGCCAGTCTAGCCAGTACGTGATGTTATGCATGTGCGTAACAATCTGCAACGTATAAAATTCAATATCGTCGTTATTTCAATAAATCCCAACTCAAACATAATTCTAATTCACCAAGAAGAAAAATTCCCAGGTTTTCCCAATGTACAAGTAATCAAAGAAGAAGAAAGATACCCAGTTTATAATAAATTACAATAGCAGTAGAGGTCCTTGTGAAAAAGTTCGTCCAGGGAGGTACTGCCACCTTATCTATTTCTGCCGCCAAGTAGTAATGTGAGCCTTATAGCGTTCCGGTTTTGACGGGTAAGGGTGCTGGAGAAATTACAGGCACACGGAACTTGCTCACTTATGTCTCATGGTGACGGTCGCAGTGGGAATGTTCATCTGATCTTTGCGATTTAAAGCTCTGAATGGCACTGTTATAGACAAGCGTGTCGCTTTCCAACAGGTGCACGACTAATTCGTCCCGTCACTACTCCACATTTACATGGCGAACGGCTATGAAGTGGAATTCCCTACCTGTAGACTTATTCCCTGAACGCTATAACTTGGGCCTTTTCAAGGCGACAACGAATAGGTATTATTTAGGTAGGCAATGTGCGTGCTCCATCGTCGACTTCATCGTCACTTTCCATCAGGTGAGATGGAGGTAACAATGTGCACTTACTTTATCATAAAAAATACTAAATTAAAAAAAAATCAAAGAAAAAAAACGAGGCAGCTCGGCGAATTTGCTTACGTTTCCGGACATGGGTTTCAGATTTTTTAATGCTCATTTGTCTTAGTTTTGAGGCTCAACATGAAACTATCAAAGTTAATTTATACAAATCAAATATTAGCTCAAACAGATTATCGATTGATTTAATTTATTTTGTGTCTCAGAGAAAAAGTATCAATCAGTAAAAAAGATGACCGTTTAAATTTTCTTGCCTGCTGCTTTTGCAAATTTAAAATGATCATGTAAATACGTGCTTTTGTAAAGTACTTATAACTTCGCAGGACTGTATCATCATAAATAACAACTTTTGTTCGATGACTTTTAATAATTCATCATATTTTTCATTCGTACAAAAATAACAATATTTACACAACAATACAACATATTTATTCGCTAAAAAATGTAGTTTCACTTTTGACATAGCATGCATTTCAAATTAAGTTTTTACAACAGCATAAACAACAATTAGAATTTAATTATAGTAATTTATAAAAATAGGAAATAAAAAATATTACAAATATTAATTAAATTTTACATTTAATTTTAGTAACTAGCAAACTATGCAATTTCATTTTAAATTGTATAATTCAATTCTTTTATAGCATCCGGAATTCCTGTTTTAATCTTGTGTTTCTATGATACCTAGTTTTGACTAAATTAGTTGCCTATATTGTTTAACAAAAATATTGGTCTCATAAATGTACATCGACGGTAGGGTTACTATCTTCAGTTTTTTTTAAATAAGGTACGCAACTCTCTCACTGACTCACACCAAACATGGCCCGAACACATTTCATCTTTGGTTTAAACAGTGACAAAATATCTGTTGCAGCCACAGCGGCGTTTCCCCTTGCAGTAGTCACGAAGTCATATCACGAAGTTGAGGCTACATATGCGTGATAACCACATACATCAGTTTGTTGTGATGTCATTCTTGTCAGATTTTTAAGATCACATACGCATTTATTAAGTTTAGTACTTAAGTTATTGATATGTGTCTTCCAGCTGGAATATTACGGAGTAAGTGGCAAGGCTAGTCATACTTTAACAGTCATATAGAACTAGTCATATTTTAACAGTAGAATTCAGAAGGTACACATAAATGGAGTGACTTCTTTGGGTTCTCCGGTAAATATGGGTGTTCCGCAGGGCTCAATACTTGGACCTTTCTTATTTCTTATCGGTATTTTACAGGATATATCACGGAGAGTGTGCGTTTAACTAGGTAAACGATTCCTTTATGGGGAACTGTATATACATTTTTACAATAAGATTTCGGAGCATATATTAAGATTACCATTTCCACAGTTTAAACCTTATATTAAAAGTATTTTAATTGAAAAGTCATATTATAAAATTGAAGACTACGTGTTAGATAAAGATGTATGGAAAGATAACTTGAGTCTAGATTCCACACAAATATGATTCAAAGTGTATTCTATAGCATTAAAGTTTATTTCAAAAGAGCAATCCCTAGAGTTTCTTGCTCAAGTGTGAAAATGTTACCTATGGAATAAATGATTATTTGACGTTGAATCAAGAGTAATGCCCAAAAATGTTGTCTCATCAACCTGACCATCATTTAAAAGTAATAATAAAATTAAATTTTTTGGTCTCGATTGTGGCATATAGAATTGTATAAACTTTGACAAATCTAAATTGCCATTTTATAGTGTCAAATTTGATTAATATTCATTAAAATTGGTATTTCTATTTACCACAGAGGAATCATCAGCAAAAAGTACCATCTTTCGGTGAACGTGGTCTTGGAAATCGTAATATAGAGAATAAATAAAAGTTACCCGAGAATACTACCCTGCGGTACACTCTACAATTCTTATATGTGAATTAGCTACTTTGTCCGTGTATTTGTCCATGTATGTAATGTGTCTCGTTGACGATTTAAATAGATCGCTCTAAAAGGTGATAACTCCGTGCGGTAACTAAAGAAAGCAGAAGCGTAAATACCAGTCCGATGCAAAACGCAGGAACGGGGGTGGACGATTTCACGTTTGAACTTACATTTATACGTATGGCATTACTCTATAAATTTACCAAATACAGATCCACAAAGAGTTAGAGTACACAAACAATCTTAAAAGTTTATTTTTGGTAAATTTATAATATAGAAAATCTAAGAACTCGATATTTATATATTGTTTTATTAAAAACCTTTAAAACAAAAGTTATTATTTATGATGTTAGTAATATGGTACTGCAAGGTTGTTACTATTCAAAAAATAACCCAGTGTAAGTGCCCTCGTGAAGGCCGACGAGTTAGTTTTAGACACTGAAATTACGGCTCTAGTAAAGTGTCAAGAACAAACACATCGGTTTGACATTTAAGATTTAAATTCCACTCTATGCTTCTTAGTATAAAAATATAGGTACCGACTAGCGTTTAACGTCAGTATTTGTGTTGACGGTAGACAAGGTTAATTGTTAGTCTCTATTAAATTAATAAATATTGGGGAAAACACTAAGCACGTATATACGACGAAATTGTTTTCGTAGATAGGTACTTGCATTCCTCTATGAGTTTGTGTCACGATTATTCGAAAATGTTACATTAGAAATATAGATAGACGAATATATTCGTTAATAGTCCAGCAACTTTCAATGAAGTTGTGCTTTCTTACAAAACAATAATGAGTCATTATAAAATAAAGGTGAAAATCCATTGACCTAGGTCAATGTTAAAATCCAACATTTTTCAATCGAATTTCAAATTTGCTCGAAGCTCATTGCGATGGGGTTCATTTTTATAATTATTTATTTATTGAGCATCAGCGAAACTGCCATTAGATGAAAATTTATAACTAAAATTTGTAAACTCTAGTTTTTTTAAAAAAACAAAAACTTTCTGATATTTTTTGAAAATTCGAACGCTATCCTAATGTTGAAGCCTGTCTATACTTACTATTACAAATATAAATAAATTTGCATATTATTTAGGTTTCTGTACCTACTTTGTGTTTGGATTACATAGATAACTAGTAGTTTTTTTTTTCTATTGTATGCAAGTTATTACGGGAAAACAATCCGTACAAAAACCACGTAAATACTTGTCGTTTATGTGTAATTTTCAATGTAGATACAAAGGGTGATTATCGCTAAGTATGCACTTAGATTTACCTACACTACTTCAAAAATTATTACACATTTTAGATAAAGGATTCAGGCTTTGTGAATCACGGATTTACCCGATGACAGCATGTAACAAACAATGCCGACGCATAACATTGGCAATGTAATTAAGCCAGGCTAGTTTCAAAATGGCCACCCTAAAGATATAATGATTTCCAGCGAAAAATATTAGAAAATTAAATTATTGCCGAAAAATTACAATCTATCAATAGACATTTAGCATGTCCCGAAGGACGAAAAATTTATTACTATTCAACCAGCCTAAAAGGAACCAAATATAATCTCAGTACAGAGTACTAAAAAAACCGACCTCAAAAGTACGTGGAATTAAAAAAAAATCAAAACGTAATGTATAGCAGCCTACGCAACTGTGCAGCGCACATAGGTATAGGGGGGCGCCGAGCGTTGGTCGCGAAGCCTTAAAGCGCCTCCAATATCATGTATAATTGCACCATTTGCTCCCGAATTTAGGGAAAATACGTATGACTGTAAATATTCCATTTTGATTGCATACCTGCTAGAGGTCTCTACTAGAGGGCGCTATGGTAATCAATAACCTGGCACCCGTACGCTACATGGGCTAGAACCGGTGCTGCACGTACGTAAAAAGTCCTGCGCCCGATTCCCCATAAGGGCCAGCGCCAGGTCTTTTCGAAATAAGTCTATGCAATAAATAAACTGCATATTCGCACCAAGGCGCAGTATCCAGAAGATGACGTAACTCGTAGGGATAGACGAATGATATAATACTTATGCTCTATGGTTGTTATTGACATTATAAACGTTTTCTGTAAAAATAAAAAAAATGCTTAAATTATACTACCAAAGAGCCAACGTCAGGTCATTTAGACATATTAATTGCAGGTTATCAAGTAGATAGGTGGTTATCAGACATCGGTATAGCGTGGTTTAGGTACTAAAGCGGAAAATAATTATTGCATACGAGTTCACCCTTTATTCCTGAGTTGCAAATAGGATATAATACACTATATTGTGTTTAATAATGTAAAGTTTACACGACAATAAGTAAATCTAAATATAAGCAATAGTATCTATATTGAAGTCTATGGATTTAAGGGAATTTGCAATTGCATTAACGACAGGGGAATATGTTTAATTTTGCATTACATTTGTGAGAAAACAGCGTATTTTCTGTTTTCTACAACGTAATTTGTATTTCGGCAGCAAGACATTATTTTGCATCCTATCCTGGCGGACTAACATCTGCCAAATTACGTAAACCATAATATAGGTGTACGAAAATGATGGGTTTATGTAAATGCGCATGCGCAAGGTTTGCTCTTAAATTATGTAATGAATGAATTACATATTCAAATAATATGGCAGATAACATGAAAATAAGCAGCCCAACCAAACCGATATTATCAGTGTTGCCAGTAGCAAAAAGTTGCCTCATGTAGCATAAATCCTAAATCTAGAACTCCGAGGATGGAAAAAAAACGAAAATGTTGCAAATTATGAAAATTTAATGTTGTAGAGTACAGAAAATTGCGCTGTTTTCTCACAAATATAATGAAAAACGGTATATATTTTTCATAGCATTTGCTCGTACGTATGTATAACGTGCAACAAAACTTTAATCATACAGCCTAGGGTGTGATTATTTATTATTTTATTTATTATACATATTTATATTATAATGCGACAAAAAGCCGGCTCGGCTACCTCCGCGCCTAATTTGCGCCGTGACCCCAAACAGCCATGCATTTTGTTGACAATAATATAAATACTTATCATTAAAGCCTTCACCGAGTAAAATAATTGCCATTAACGCCCTTATAACACAATATACTTATAATGTAATGTATTACGCATCTTCGCCAGTGGGAGAAAAAGTGCGGTAAGAGTGATTAAAAAAAGTAAAATTGAGTAACATATTTTATTTATTATTCCGTACTTATGTACTTCATAAACGAAAATCGACGCCAAAATCAACAAATAAGACTCAGTATCTTACCATAATACAAATGTATTCTTAAATTCCGTAATTACTGTAAAATCATAAAGTTATTATTTATCAAATATTATGTACATAAGGCACGTACCTATAAGAATATATAAAAACAAGTTTAATTATGCCGCGATATAATGCTAAATATATTGTACTTAATAGGAATGTTCCATTATGCTCCGAGTAAGTTATTAAGAACGAAAACTTAATCTTTACCTTAGTATTTTAACAGTTTATGCTTTTATAAGCTCTTGTTCGAGAAATCGCTTGGATATTATATTTTCCGTACAATAACATAGCACATAAAACATTGTCCTTTTTCAACAAAAAAATCTTAGAATTACTAAATTACCGGCAAAGTACTTAAAAACATAGGCTTCAGGCAGTTTCATACCAATTTTTTTTTATAACACCAACACGAAGTTCTTTTGTGGTTCTTTTTTAGTTGGATGGATCTATGATAGCCTGTGCAAAGTTCGCCAAGTTAGTTCCTGTTATAGATTATGGTTAAGTGAGTACTCAATTTGCAGCTTTCGGTCTTGTTTGACATTATTTGGGAAGCTTGCCAACTTCGTACATGTAAGCTGCGAACAGTTTTATCTGGAAGCAAAGAATGACAAGAATAAAAATCGACCCACAAAAAATAAGAGTACTGAATTTAATGTCACATTTTGAGAACGGATTCACAGGATTCTCACAGTGTTCTCTTGTAGTGTAAAAGCAAATGGTAGCGACACGATAGGGTGGCAAGATTGCCAAAATGCCAGTGTGCCCTAGCCCGAAAAGGCCACGACCCGAGATAGATGACTGATAAGGTGACGAAGACCTAAGAGCAAGATTGGCAAATTTTTTGCTACTTGCAGCCCAGAAGGGCCACAGCTTAGGTAGATGACTGGTGCGGCTGAGGACCTACAAGCACGACTGGCAAAATGCCAGGGAGTGATGAGGCGATGAGGACCTAGGAGCAAGATTGACAAAATGCCAGGGTTCTCTAACCCGAAAGAACCATGGCTTAGGTAGGTAACTGATGCTGCTGAGGACCTACAAGTAAGATTGACAAATGACAGTCCCCTAGCCCAAAAAGACCACGATCCGAGGTTCGGGACAAAAAAGTCGTGCGCCTGGTGGTTAGCGCCACGCCTGCCCACAGCAGTTCCAGTGCCACTCAGTGCTTTAAAGATCTGAGAGGCACTGCCATTGCGCCGCTAACCCTGAGATATAAGTTGACAAGTCCCAATGGGCTTGTAATTTCACCAACACCCTTACCCCTCAAAAATAGAACGCAGTAATCCTCACACTATTACGACATATTCTGCCGTCAAGCAGCAATACGAGCATTACTACGTTCCGGACATGAAGGGTAAGGGTGCTGGTGAAATAATAATAATAATAATAAATATCTTTATTTATCTCCACAACACAATACAAAGAAACGTTACAATTACAGTAAATATACATTATTACGTAAGCTTAGAGTAATGTATTGTGGGAGACTGGAGCCCAAACTAAGCAGAGCTTGTAATATGGGTCTCCAGGCACCCAACCCCTAGGATAGTCATGTTAGTAGTAATGATGAGATACAAAAGTACTGAGGTGGAAGTAAAAAATAAGTAAAACAAATTATGTGTGCGCGCGTGAGCGCGTGAGTGAGTGAGTGAGTGAGTGTGTCTGAGTGCGTGAGTGAGTGTGTGTCTGAGTGTGTGAGTGATTGTGTGTCTGTGTGTGTTCGTGTGTGTTTGTGAGTGTGGAATTGTGTGGTTATTTGACGACTTTTAGTAGATTCTCAGTCTCATCATACAGGCCCCTGAGTGTTTTCAACGTATGTCTCAGGGTGACGGGCACAGTGGCACTGCCCTTTGAGCGGCACTCATACACAGGTAACGTTTACCATCAGTAAGGCTGGCACGATAAGGCGTGACTTGCGCGAGAGCGAAACAAAGCGCTATATCTCTATGCGAGGATAGCAGTAACTCGCGGTTTATGTCGCTCTCGCGCTAGTCGCGCCCTATCGTGCTAGCCCGTCACTTAGTATTGTAAATAAAAGCAAAAGTATGAATGAATGCTATCACTGCCATTCCACTAACAGTACTGAGACTCAAGTGCAATGATAAAAGAGAGAGAAAATTAGCAGACTTGGCGCCCTGGTATTTAGTAATGATAACGCTTTTAGTAATGATAAGCCCTATAAATGTATAATAACGCACACACTCAACATAGCCCCGCACTAGGAAAACCCTGTGTCGCAGGAACCATGGGCACATAAATGTATATGTGTTTAACCACAAATTACACTCAAACTCAAGATTGAAATAAATGTAGGCCATACAAATATTTCTCCCGGCCCGGGAATCGGACCTGGGACCCCTGCGTGGCATTCCGGCATGGTAACCATTCGGCCACGGAGACAATAAATGTACAATAATACTTACACCCTCAATATAGTTGCGCACGTTGAGCTTCTCGTTCTGCGAGTGCGCCATGTCGTCGCCGGCACCCATGGGCAGCAGCAGCACGTTCTTGCCGCTGGCTTCTTGCAGCGTGATCGTCACCGGAATGGAACCACCCTCTCGGGACATATCCGGGTCAGTCTGAAGCAGTATACAAGGCAACATGGTTACTGTACATTCTAAAAAAAATCGCTTTAAAAATAAATCTGCTAACATAAGAAGTTTTCACCATTAAATATTATTACCATACGGGAACACATTCATTTAGTTTAGACATCGCAACTATACTATTAAAATTCTAAGATTGAATTGTATAACTTTATGATGATTGCAATATAATAATTTATTGAGGTTTATTTTTCTTTTTATTGTTTATTTCTTTCTTAACATTTATTTTACTTGTATTAGACCAAGTTATAATGAAATCAAATTATTATTATCTTTATTAAATAAAGTTATTTAATTTAGCATGTAAAATACTTTTAACTCTCTAAAAAAATTATGATTTCCGTACAAGATATGAGCGAATGACACATTGGTTACCATGAGTATAATTACCAGCTGAAAACTGGACCCTTTTATTTTGTTTATTGAGAATATTCCACATAGAAAACACTACACATTAAATAAATACTGAGCATAATAGCTTAAAACTAAGTGCTTCTACACTTAACCCGTTTATGTGCAGTACTTAAATAGTATCGCTATTTTTTGTTATTTGTACCTTAGTGAGGTGAGGACATTATAACGACCCATTTAAAATAAACATTCCGCGAAAACCAATAGTTTAGAAGTTGATTTTTATGTACTTTTTAAAAATTTTCTACTTTAGTCACTAAAACCACTCTAGTTCGAAAACTATTCAACTAAATTAATTTAAATTTGGTATGGAAGTGGTGTGGCGGTGTAGCTAGCATGCAATGAGTCATGTTTGTGTTTGTTCTTAGATTGCGTCGTTATTTTAGACCTTTAGGCGATATTTTATTTATTCACGAACAAAATGTTAAATTTTCGAAAAATTCCTGACTGAAAAAAGTACAATCCTAATTTCGTCGCCTTGCTTTCTCAAACTCGCATCTACTATTATAGATATAGATATTTCATAAACGCCGTTACTGTCCATGAACGGGGTTAAGGAACATCACAGCATGCAATAATAACAATATACAATATTAAAAATTCATGCTACGTCGGGCGCACTATAAGTTTCCGGAATGAATAAGATAATCTCAGTCATTGACTTATATCTCAGTACAGAGTACTAAAAAAACCGACCTCAAAAGTACGTGGAATTACATCTATTTGCCAAGTTTTATTGAAATCTGTTACCGGGAAGTGCGCAAACCCGGATTCATCCCCTAGTTCGCCACTATACGGAATTTGACACAGGAAATAATAAAAATCGGTTCTCACTACTCAAATATATATAAGTATATTGAGAGAAAAACGCCTTGAATTAGAGAATAGCAAAATCAACCATAAGATAATTGCTTTTCATAATAAAATTTAGGCGCTATTTATAAAAATGAATCTTTATGCGTGAACAGCCACCCTTAGAGGTGGATGATTTTCTTCAAAATTAAATGGGACCACTATGGAGGTACCCCCTTTCCAACAAAAAAAGAATCATCAAAATCGGTTCACAAATGGCGGAGTTATCGCGTAACATACATACAAAAAAAAAGAAAAAACATACAGTCGAATTGAGAACCTCCTCCTTTTTTTAAGGCGGTTAAAAAAGTACTATAAATGGTCAGAAATTAATTTATTGTTTGTCAAAATATTCTCCGTTAGCGTTAAAGCACTTTTACGAATGAACCAATTTTTAAAACATTTATGCCAGTCCTCCGTGACAATTTCTGAAACATATGTTTCATATTCTTCGACAACCTCTTCAGGTGATGAAAATCGTTGACCGCGTAACTGGTTCTTAATTTTTGGAAATAAAAGTCACAAGGTGCCAGATCGGGACTGTACGCGGAATGGTTCATAAGGTCAACGCTGTTCACCTTCAAAAATTTATTTGTCTGCCTGGCCATGTGAGAAGTGGCATTATCATGGTGCAAGATGACACGGCGTTCACGGTTATTTTTACAGAGTTTATCAATAACTTTCGGCAAACAAAATGGTCCTGTACCAATCACTATTCACGGTACAACGATTCTCCAAAGCAAAAGTAGCCCCGTGTCCAGTTTTATTAAAAAAAAGAAGCAACCATCCGCTTAGAGGCATTTTGCACGCGCGCCACTTTGATTGGTTTCAGCTCATCTCGAAAGACCCATACGCTCGATTGCCGCTTTGGTTTGGGATCGCAATTATAAATCCATGTTTCGTCACCTGTTACTATGTCCTACACCTAATTTGGCACCCCTTCGTTGAATCTGGTAAGCAAGGCATTGCGCCAAGTGACGCGATCCGTTTTTTGAGCCTCAGTCAAATTGTGTGGGATCCACCGAGAGCACAGCTTTTTCACACCAAAATGTTTGTATAGTATTGATTGTATTTGACTCATGCCTATGCTTAAAGATGCCGAATCTCATGGTATGCTACATGCCTGTCTGTTTTGATTATACACATGGCGCATAGTATCGATGTTTTTGTTGTTCACAGCAGTGGACGGGCGACCATCACGAAATTCGTCACAGAGATTTACACGATCGCGATTGCTGAGCTGTTAAATTACACTTAAAGTCGTAGAAAATCATACTACGAAAATTTTTACGAGTTAATCCATGGTGATGTAGACAACCAATTTCTAAAATGACACCACAGTGTAAAAACAATGTAAAGACAGTCAGATGAAACAAACTGTATTCTACAGACAGAGTCCCATTTTCCAATGTTGTAATTACTTTTTAAATATTGTTTATGTAAGTGGCCAGTTCCGGAAACGTATAGTGCGCCCTGTGTATTAAAAAAAATTAAAATTAATTATCTTCAGATAATCGCAGCGTACAAAAAAATTTATGATTTAAAAATTAATTGAGCGTACTACTTTTCGTTATAACCTATATCGACGACTTTCTGCAATAACAGTCCATCTTAAAAACACCTAATTAATAAAAAATAGTAGATTAAAAAACCCGAGGTATATCTAGCTCGCGAAGCGGACAAATCGCCGCCTTACTTTCTCAAACTCTAAGTTACTGAAGAGTAAAAAATGGTTTATACATATAAATTTTGCAAGCGTATTTCACATCGCATTTCCTTCATATTCATACACCGGCTTTTACCTATTCTTAAAATAATGCATCCAAATTATCACCCTTGATAAGAAATTTAAAATAAATAGAACGTTTTCCCATCTCCTGAATAATCACTTTTTTTGAGATACGAGTTTGAGAAAGTAAAGCATCGAAATCGTATACATTTATAATGTTGTCACGTGATAATTTTCATCAATGGAATGCTCTGTGTAACATTCACACTTATTAAGCATATTCTTAATACCGCTGTGTATTAATAAATAATTGAACAATTCACTATTTTGGTTTGGAGTCACTATTTTTTCAAGGATATGTGTTGCTACTGCCGCAAGCTTCCCGACGCTGACAAAGCGTGAAAGGCCCTTGCACACACTGCTGTACCTATGTGTTTTGTCCGATCACTGCGTGACGTTACAAGAGTCTGCAGCTAGCAGTTGGACATCAACAATAAGAATATGTCAAAAAAAGACAACCGAAAAGAGATTGTATGGTCAAATTACATTATACTAACATATGGAAACTGGAATAAACGCGTTTAAATACGAATGGGTACTTTTCACACCTACCTAGTTTCACGACGTTTCGGACAGGTTGCACTCGCCGTGGTCACGGGCTGACTGATTCCAAATGTTAGTATGTACAATGCAACGCGAAAGTTTAAAAGTATACAAATTACATTATTCTAAATAAACGTCATACTCTGGACAAAAGTTTTAACAAAGCTAACGAGGGTGAGTGACTTAGATGAAAAGGAAGGGCTAGATTCCCTTAGACTCCTCGTCAACAGTTGTTTCCAAAGCGGGAGATTTTGTCAGTCACGAAATGATTAATAACAGTTATTAATGTAGTTCAACGAGTTAAATTATTATTTTACAATATTAAATGACGGGACGAACAAGTCGTGCGCCTGATGGTAAGCTACACGCCTATCTATTACGATTGCAGTGCCACTCAGAGCTTTAAATCGCAAACATCCGAGAGGCACTGCCACTGCGCCCGTAACCCTGAGACATAAGTAGACAAGTCCCATGTATCTGTAATTTAAAAAATATTCACCAGCACCCTTACCCTTCAAAACCGGAACACAGAAAACAACAAGGAACACATTATAATATTAATTAGTCTGAAAGTGGTGATGAAAGTTTTATAAATTATATTGATAATGCTATCAACCTGGTAAATGAGCTTGGTGGCCCTAGCAGCTGCCTGGTAGTGCGGATGATTGGGATCCTCTGTCCACGAGCGCCCGCTTTGTGCCGTGATTCGCATTATATTCGGGGACCCGCGCTCCGCCCACTGAAATGTAAACATTTATACACTCAGCTACACATCTAGTGATTCCGAGATCAATAAGTCTAGGATCGGCAGATTTAGCTTACTTTTTTATTATTTATATAATGCCAAGCGACGGGACGATCAAGTCGTGCGCCTGGTGGTAAGCGACACGAGTATCCATAATAGTTTCAGTGCCACTTTCGAGTTTTTAATCGCAAAGATCTTAGGCATTGCCACTGTGCCCGTCACCCAGCAACATAAGTTGGCAAGTCCCATGGGCCTTTAATTTCACCAGTACCCATACCGGAACGCAGTAATGTACACATTATACGGTTTAGTATTATATAAAAAAAGGAAGTCGCTTAATTTACTCTGCACTCGATTTCATATTAAAGTACAAATCAGTTGTGCTACACGACACGCGCGCAATTACTGTACACTGTGTGTCGTGTTTGTATACCTGCACCTACCTACCTAGGAGAGGGGGTGAAGGAAGGTAAGTGAGGGAAACATTTATTGGCATGAAGAATTATTTTTGCGAATTGAGCTGCTTGTTCACATAAACTTTCATATAGTATATGAAACTGCCCACACTAATCTTTCCATATTAAGTGATGTACCCAGTTTTTTTTCCAACGTCATTAAATGTCAAATTTTAAATACGTACCTTCTTATTAATATAATCGAAGACGAGATTCTCTACTTCTTCCGGTTCCTGATTGGGCACAATACGGATGGAGAACTTTCCGATCACTTTGCCAGGTATTACGGTCTTCGCTCCGGGTTGGAAAGCGGCACCTGCAATAACAATTATATCTAGAGCGTTATAAGGCTTCAATAATACTTTAAGAATCTTCAGCTCGAAAAAATTTAATAGCTGAACTTATTTTACTATCCATGATATTTCATGTAAATACATGACATAATTGTAAGGAAAATCAGTGTTTTCTTGTTTGTGGTTAAGTTGTTCAGTGAAAATATTTTTTCTTATTACATTGTGGCGCACATTGCATAAGCCAAACGCTATCGCTTTGCAAGTGAGGCCACACCAAAATCATACGATCAATGACGTCGGCGCCTGCACATCGTACGATGAGTGACGTCGGCGCCGCGCCTGCACATCCCTCGTTGCCCTTGCAAGCCAGGCGACCCCCGCGGCCGCCGCCCCGCCTCATGCACCTCATCGCTTCAAAACCCAGCAATGCGCGCCGAGCACCGAGCCTTCGCAATAAGGTGAGACTGTACACGACCTGCATCCGCCCAATCATGACGTACGCCAGCGTCGCATTCGCTCAGGCAAATCCCGCGCTAATACACCGCCTGCAGGCTCTCCAAAATAGATTCATGCGCAACGCGACGGGTGCCCCGTGGGACCTGCTCAACGCTAACCTCCATATAGATTTACGGCTCCCCCCAATAGCCCAATTCATGAAACAGGCATCGAGGAAATACTTCGACTCTGCTCCTCACCACCCCAACCCCCTCGTGGTGGCTGCATCTTCTTACGACCCCCTCAGGGAACAACCCCACCGCGTAAATAGGACCCGTCGGCCAAGGGAAGTCCTCAACGACCCTGACGACCTTATCACTCTCGCCACTTTGAAGGCCAACCAGATCGCTAGTTAAAAAAAAAGAGCACCGAGCACTCTGCTTGCTTCTCGCTTTGGAAACAGACGCGCTTTCTAATTCTTATATTGCTTTGTATTTTTACGCTGTTCTTGTAATTTTTAATTTCTTTAAGTAAATTTCCTTTTCATTCCTTTCAATAATATTATTCATTAGCTTCCGTTTATCTTTCTTCCTTCCTTTCGCTTTCTTGTCATAGTTTCAAGTATACGTAGTTCGGGTTCGAGTCCCGAATTAACAGATAGGAGAAACGAACACACTCCGACAACACCAAGTGACGGCACGAACAAGTCGTGCGCCTAGTGGTAAGCCGCACGCCTGTCCATATCAGTTCCAGTGCCACTCAGAGCTTTAAATCGCAAAGAACTGAGGTGCACTGCCACAGTGCCCGTCACCCTGAGACATAAGGTCACAAGTCCCATGTGCCTGTAATTTCAGCACCCTTACCCTTCAAAACCGGAACGCAGTACTTAATGCTCATATAACTGCTTGAATCGGCACTGCAACTGCTATGGACAGGCGTGTCGCTTACCACCATACGACTTCACTTAATATCATTAAACACATTTGGTCGGTTCGATACCAAGATGAGACAAGCAACTTTTTCAAGTTTTTGAATGCAGTATTACTTACTTTTAAAAATAAAATAATGTTTCCTTGAAACAATATGTACAATATTGTACATTATGCCATCTTATGCGCATACAATGTGTAGAAAAATGATATTTAGCTATTTGATTATTTTGTTTGCTTTTGTAATTTATATTTTCGATTCATTTATACATAAATTAAATACTAGACAACTGCACAAAATAACCTTTTCAATGATAACTATGATAACACAATGTATTTTTTGAAAATATGATACAAAATCCTGTTTTTGCACTTTACTGCAGTAACTTGTACAAGTTATTATTATATAGTACTGCATGATTGACAACCGCGCTATCAGTCGAACAAACGAAGACTGTTGCATGATTGACGCTCTGTATACGATTTTAACGCACTATAGGTGCGGACACTTTTTATAGCGAAACCGATGTCCATTTGTTGGTAGGTCAATGATATTTAAGTACTTTTTATTTCAATATTGGATTTTTTTAAATTAATAGTTTTGGCTTGGATACAAGTCCTTTGAGCCATGTCTTCGTTTAATTATCGGGATCTTCAGTAATATTTGCCATTGTAGTTCTAAATTCTAATACGTTATGTTTTCACTGTCTCTCAAATAACTTAGGTCACTTATTTGGGTTTATTAAATAGCCTTTTAAGCGGCGGGAGTCAATATTTATTTATTATTTTTTTCATCACTATTTCTTTCTTCGTTTTTTCTTCGTAATATACCTAAAATAAAAATAATATTTGTAAAAACTGTACCTGTAACTTCAAAAGCCCGCCATTTTCTACAACATTGGAAGTGACACGTAAAAGAAAGTAAAGTTGTAGTGCCATATCTTTTTAACATTTATAATATGATTCTTATATACTTCAGGTGTTATTAATGTAATTTCACCAGCACCCTCAAAACCGAAACGTAGCATTTATTTATTTATTTTGTCTTAGAGCGTACAAACAGCTTATAACATGACACTGACTGGTAAGCAAACAGTTCCCCGCCGATAGAAATTAAGTTAGCTAAAAAAGCATTCCGTTTAGTTACACACCAATCATTGGTTAAACAGTCCGTTTAGAAAAATAATAAAAACAATTTAAAAAAGGTATAATAAAAAAGACAAAATACAGATAAATAAAAACATAAGATTAACATATTGTAACTTTTGCGACCACACAGTTATTAATAATAGTAATGGTCACATTACTGCTTGGCATCAGAAATAGGTAAAGTAAAATAAAAAAAAGAAAATAAGCTAAAGTACTACTTCCCTGGACGGACTCTTTCACAAGGAGGTCTACTGCTACTATTAGTGTTGTAAGAGATGGCCAATATAACTTTGCCTGCTGTCTATGGGTAAGATACACTAGTTCTTAAAAGCTGGAGGAAACATAGACAGAGCGACTCTGGCGGGATATTACCAACTGAAAATACTTTTTCATCACACTTGCTAGTAAACAGTGTAGAATAGTTTTATTGTAGATTGATGAAATATGTATTCATACATAATAAATTAATGTAATAACTGATTCCTAGCACATAACAAATAGTATCGTATGTGACCACTAGATGGCATTGTATTGTATAGAATATTGGTGACAAATAAATGGCGCTATTCACAATTGCATAATGTTAAATTGCAATATCAGTTCAATTCGAAGGAAAGGTTTACAACCAAATAAGTTTTATTGTAGATCGTTAAAATAATTATTCACACTTATAATTTTAAGTATTTGAATATAAAGAGTATTCAATTTTACTTAATTTTCTCATCAGCTAATCGGCGGCCGTTTCCGTCACATCCCACCCTGCTACTAAACTGTAGGGTTGAGTGGAGGGACGGGGTGGCGGAATCGGCCGGCAGTCATGTGGTGGGCAGGAGTCCGAAAGGCTAGACGAGTAAATTACTTACATAAAGTGATTGTACTACATTGTTTAAGAACGTGTGATCAGTTACGGAAAATATAGTAATATTTCTTATCAACTTGGTATTATTTCACGCCCACGAAGAGCGCTGCAACAACAGTATCAATCTCATCAATCATCAATCTTTGCCGCAAAGGTAATTTGGTGGATTAGTCTTTGTACGAGCTCCTATAAAAATTTTTCATTATAGTGTAAATATTGCAAATTTGTTATTAAATTTGTAACGTAATCTATTATAACTTTCCAAATTATCATTTTGTAGTGCATTACAGTGTATTATTATATAGAATTTAAACAAATAAGTGCTAAAGGTCTTAGAGCGTCACTACCTGCATTTATTTTGTGTTCGCGCCCCGCGAGTGAATTTGGCCGTTCCGCCGCTATCGCGCGCGCAGCCTAAGTGTGATAATGGCGTGCGTGCCTCAATCTCGTCATCGCCTTGTGCGCTACGTCAACGAACAAAACTTCGCAGTAGTGTCACCTACACTAAACTACTCAGTGGCGTCTCTCAGGGGAATTGTAAAGTAAAAAACAGTTTTTAATTTTCGATCTTTGTATTATTAATTATAACAAACTGGTGCAGTGGGTGCAGAACATTAATTGAATATAAATTCAATAAATTTAAAACCGTAATCACAAAATTTACATTAACATAATGAATTGTTTAGCGTGTAACAATAAAATAAACCGAGGAGAGGTATTAGCCTGTGCTATATATACATATATATGTAAGGGATGCTATCATTATAAGTGTATAAATATGACGTTGAAAACCTACACTGCCAATAAACATACCTGGCTATGCCCTTCTTGTGTAATGGCTACGAGACGCGTTCGAGGCGATGAGACACCAACCTGTAGACAGTTCCAGCAGCTCCCAGTCGTAGCTGATATGTCTTGCGACAACATAGCTTCCGGCTGCATCGCAACTAATGCTGGTGACGAATCGACAAGCACCAGTCAAGTAAATATTTCTCAAGTTTTAAAGGAGCTTCGAGCATTCAGGAACGATTTTGTTGGCATGAGGTCTGATATTTAAAGAGTGACTGATAGCATTCAGGAAATTAATAAAAAATTTGGTGAAATGGAATCTCGTTTCAGTGACATTGAGGATAGGTTAATAATAAATGAAAACAAAACGGCGTTGATTCCTTAATTAAAATAAGACCTAGACTCAGCTAAAGATTCGATATCGTCATTAGAAAATGAGTTACAGCAACGGGACCAACTAGCTAGGAGGAACAACGTCGAGATATCCGGAGATACCTATTGCTGCTGGTGAGAACCTCTCAATGCTAATACGGGCCATAATTTATATTCATTTCGTTCGGGCCATTAATAAGGTTGGTTACTCACTAGACGACCATGACATCGATAGTGTCACAAGTGTACGGAGGTTCGTAGCGAGCAGTGTGTCTGCAGAATCAAGCGTCTCTCGTCCGTCGGCCATTATTGTAAAATTCACTTTCACATTCTCACTCCTCGAAACAAACAATTATTAAAACGTGCCAGACAAATGAAAACTGACTTGAATTATTCTTATTTATGGGTTAGAGACTGTAAGATATTGATGCGCAAAAACGAAAGGTCAAAGGTTGACAACCTTTGACCTTTCGTTTTTGAAGCCAGGAATGATGCCGACATTATCTAGTTAAAATGACTTCGAAACGATTTTTTTATATTTTTAATCACTAAACAGTGGCTTTTTAATTTATTTACCAAAGTCATCTACATTCAAGACGTTCGTTTCTTATTGCAATTATGTGTTTTAACTGTATCTGTTATTCTACGTTAAGTGATGTGGTAATTATTTTTTCTATTTGTGTACAATGGACACTTTTTCTAAAATATTTACATTCAATCCTATTACAAAATCACTTCTTGCTGCAATATATAAATAAAACTGCATATAATTTAATTACTTCTAATTGCTTAATGACTTTTAATGTTTAATGTTTCTGATGCGGTTTGGAAGGAGACTCGCACTTTCAGCAAATTACTACAAAAAGGTTGTGACTATGCTGTAAGATCGTTAAAAGATTTTTTAGCGTTCACTACAACAGTTTAATGTGCTTATAACACCAATAACAGAATCTTGAACCTAGTGATGAGTAATATTAACGGCAATGTCACGAGCTGCTGTCAACCGTTAACCCAAGAGGATATCCATCATAAGTCAATAGAAATTTGTTTGAATATTAATAACTTTAAGTCTTTAAATTCAGTACCGACCTATAATTATAACTTCTGTGCAGCAGATTTTCTTTTTATTAATATGGAACTTACAAACATAAACTGGCCTGAAATATTTAGAGCTTTAAGCTTAGAGGAATGTATTTAAAAATTTTACTGCAATAAATCAAATTTAAATTAAATCAATGGGACACCGCCGTAGACACAATTTTAACGTTTCACACGTTAACAAGGGTGTGGGGCCGGATGGTATATATCCTCTGTTAATTAGCAAGTGTGCTGATGCGCTGACTTATCCCCTCACTCACATTTTCAAATTATCTATTAGCAGTGGTTGCGTGCCTCAAGTGTGGGAGTATGCTTGGATAACGCCTATACCTAAGGGTAACGTGTGTGAGGATGTCACTAATTATCGGTCGATTTCCGAACGGTGCCATTTCGCCAAGATACAGGAAAGGATTGTTACTGATCAACTGTTCGGGGTTGTGCAGCGCGTCATTGTCCCGAACCAACATGGCTTTTGTAGAAAGCGTGGTGTGGATAGCAATTCGTTAACTTTTACGGAGCTTATACTGTCAGCAATGGATGATAACGCACAAGTAGATGCTATATATACAGATTTTGCGAAGGCATTTGATAAAATTTGTCATAACACACTACTTTTTAAGCTCTGGCAACTAGGAATTCACGGTGACTTGTTCCGGTGGTTACGTTCATACGTAGTCCGGCTGTTACACTCTGGAGTGCCTCAAGGATCTCAATTGGGACCTTTATTATTTATGTCAATGATCTGACAAAGTCCATAAGTCACTCAAACGTACTACCATATGCGGATGATACGAAGTTGTACAGAGTTGTAAAGGAAACAAATGATGCTGCGTTACTGCAAACCGATTTAAATGATTTTGTTGATTTATGTAACAATAACAATTTATTACTGAATGCAGATAAATGTTTTACCATTTCTTTTACAAGGAAAAGAAATCCAAGAATGTACCCTTATAAAATTTGTGGACAGGATCTGAATCGCGTAAGTGAGATTAGAGACCTGGGCGTGGTAATAGACTCCAAACTTTCATTTATCCCCTATATAGATAAGATTGTTAATTGGTCATACAAATTTTTAGGTTTTATATTACGCGTAGGAAAACCATTTAAAAACGCATTTACCTATAAACTATTATTCAACAGTTACGTGGGAAGTCGGCTGGAATTCGCAAGTCCAGTTTGGAATCCGTATCAACAGGTTCATCAAAGTAAAATTAAAAAGTTGCAACGAAAGTTTGTTAAATCCTTGGATTATAGAATCGGTCATCAGCACACAGATTATGACTCATCCCTTACATTCCATAAAATAAACACCTTGAAGCAAAGTCGCGAGATGAATGTCACGTACTTGTCTAAAATATTACATAACATGGTTGATGCCCCTTCCCTATTGGGACAAATTTATTTTCGTGTATCTTATAAGCAAGAAAGAGCAAGTCGTAAAAAAACACTATTTGCCATTAAACCAAGTAAAACCTGCTATGGAAGTAATAGTTTTATAAAGAGAGCATGTACCTTATATAAGTTTCAACAATGTACATTTAGATCACGTTCAAGAATTTACCTTGCTTGGCTTAGTTTTAGATACACATATTAATTGGAAAGCACATATTCAAAAATTAAGATCTAAAATAGGCAAATTTGCTTATGCACTTTGCGAAACAAAGAAAACAACTAATTTGGAAACCGCGCTAACCACTTACTACGCGTATGCCTATGCATGGCTCAACTACGGTGTAATGCTGTGGGGGAACAGCACCGAATCTCCCTCAATTCTGACCTTACAGAAAAAATTGATAAGAATCCTAGCCAACATTGATGCAACCGAAAGCTGCAAACCCTATTTCCAACAGTACAATATTTTAACTTTACCCTGTATCTACATTTTTGAATCCTGTAAATTTGTCAGAAATTATCCCAATCTCTTTAAAAGAAGGCAAGACGTATTACAAACTATTGTTTTAGACACCAAAACAGACTTATGTTACCAAAATCAACGATCTCTCTCCATTCATCAAGTCCGTTTGTAACGTCTATAAAAATTTATAATAAGTTACCGAACTCCATAAAAGAAATACCTCACGACAGCAATTTTAAATCCCATCTGAAAAAAATATTAGTAAGTAAAAGTTACTACCATGTAAACGAATATTTCAATGATAAAGGAATATGTTCCTGATAAGTTACATTAATGTACCAATATACTTACCTGTACTTAATAGAAATACATACATAAATACTAGGCGTAAAAATATTGAGATGTTTGTTATTATTAATTATTTTATTTCTTTGTTAATGGAATTCATAGACATTTATTGTACTGACAAAATAATAATATTAATAGATTTTATTTGTAATTTAAGAATTGTATGCTTATATAAATTGTAATTATTGTATGTTTTTTTGAAGATTTTATTTGATGTTGAAATGTTTATTGATTTAATTTAATTCAAGTAAGTGAAATGTTGCCCTCTCTATGTACATTGCTGTGCCCAACCGGGTCCCAAAGCTCTAATTTAAGCTCTAATTTAAGTGTCCACCTGCTACAAATGTAAACTTTTGGGAATGCAATAAAGAATTGAGTATTGAGTATTGAATAGCAAATTAATGCGTATAGAAATATTTGATAAGTCGCTATTAAGATTTAAAAACCACATCACTGAACTTATATAAAATAAAACTAATACTATGTATTACTATGGATAAATAATGTTCAAACCGTTTTTGTGAGTTCTTTGTTTTTTTTTTGTTGTCTGTTATTGTAGTGTGACTTGTCTTGTTGTATTTGCACTGCTTCCTCTTGTTTGCGTATTATGACGATGGTTGTGAGGTATACAAATAGATTATAGGTTCTCCTAGTAACAAGTGAGCCGCCTTGAGTCTTGAGCTTTATAATGGAATCAGGAGTCCTGCAGTAAAACAAATAAATAATGATTGGTGCTTAACATTTACGTAATACTATCAAAAATTATCAAATATATCAAAATTTATAATCTTTCTACAGTAATATGTAGTAGCAGTATAATACGTTGTTCTTACCTAAAGTTTCTGGCCTGCATACCATCCATACTCATTCCTCTTGATAAAGGGTGACACGCTCACGTTTAACATCTCTGGATTTGATTGAAAGAATATTAATTATGATTCATGTTATAGTAATTAATTAATTGTAATATAATTAGTTAACTATTGTGCTTACCTTAAGTGGAAACCATGTTTTCTTATGTTATTTCTAATGTAAATGCTTCCGGGGTTCTCGCGTGCCGTGATAGCAATATTATTATTATACATTGTATATAACACAGTTGTAAATAGCTGAACTGGTTCACTGATGGATTGCAAACACTATACTTCTTTTTATTTAACATTTTTTCTCACTCAATGCATTGTTAATAATTTAATAATGATTGCTCAATTCAATTACGACTTGTGTTCCGTGTTTACGTAAAGACACGACAAGTCCTGAGCGCAAGGAGTTACCTCTGTGTGCACTCTTGCAGTGTTCGGAATACGAAATATGCATATTGCTGAATATGTTTGTTCTGTTTCGTTGTTCCTGTGCACGATTTTTTTGTGTTGTAGGTGTAATGTCTACATGTGTGTGGCTATATCTATTCATAACTTGAAGTTGTTTATCGCAGATCACATAAATACTTTTCTTTCTTCCGTGTTGTTTATTGTGGTGTATCAGATTGTCTGTTTACCTACTTTTTGTTTTATTTAATGTATATTTAGGGGTAAGGAGCTTTTTTTATTTGTAGCACGATATACATCCATAAATAGTTCAAGTTCAAGTTCAAGCAAAGAGGTTACTTAACTTCAATATTATATTCGCTTAAACTGTTATCTAAACAGAAATTTAATTGCAATTCAGCCACATACTACTTAAATTGACTTTAATCATTTTCTATATAAAAATTTTGCATTTTTTTTTGCAATCCATCATGGCAGTATGCGTCTTTGCTTTTTACATCATTTTTCGAGTTGTATTATCTATGGAAGAATAGCTGGCCAAAAACGCGAAATTATACGAATCTCGAACTAAAATACCCGTATCGGCCCGTTCTAAGGAATCCCGAGTCAATCCAAGCACGCCGTCTCAAATTGCCTACTCTCTTTGTGGCGGCCATATTTACAGAAACATAATTAAACGAAGACATGGCTCAAAGGACTTGTATCCAAGCCAAAATTATTAATAAAAAAAAGCTAGCTGGCCACCTGTTGATTAAAAAAAAATCCCGCCATTTGCAAAATTCGTAATTGTTGTGAACCATATTTATTCATACAAAAAATAAACATTGCATTTATTTCTCTCAAAGTTGATGAAAAACATTGTATGTATCACGGACGGTAAAAAAAATACAAAACTCCAGTCGTTAAAGATTCTAATGAACCCTCTTTAGTACCTCCTTATTTACTTAATACACAATGTACTTTTATTCTTCTTTTATTATCAATGATAGGTGTTGATGTGGTATGTGGAAATTTGAGAGTTACCACACTTATCGCCACGGGATCGCATTAAGCCGGTCATAAAAAGTTTAAAAAAAATATTGAATGAGAGCGAAAACGCCGATGGCGCTTCGCATCGGTTCGTACCATGCAGTTCGACAAAGGTCGTTAATGAAAATGCTTCTTGCTAATTATTTTTAACCGACTTTAAAAAAGGAGGAGGTTCTCGATTCGACTGTATGTTTTTTTTGCATGTACGTGACGCGATAACTCCGGTATTTGTGAACCGATTTTCATGATTCTTTTTTTGTTGGGAAGAGGGTACCTCCATAGTGGTCCCATTTAATTTTGAAGAAAATCATCCACCTCTAAGAGTGGCGGTTCACGCATGAAGATTCATTTTTATAAATAGCGCCTAAATTTTATTACAATGAGCAATTATTTTAATGGTTGATTTTGGTATTCTCCAATTCTAGGCATTTTTCTCTCTTAATATACTTTGAGTAGTGAGAACCGATTTTTATTGTCTCCTGTGTCAAGTCCCGCATAGTGGCGAACTAGGGGATGAATCCAGATTTGCACACTTTACGGTAACTGATTTCAATAAAAGTTAGTAATTATATGTAATTCCACGTACTTTTGAGGTCGGTTTTTTTAGTACTCTGTACTGAGATTATATTATTAATTACCGAACGCAAACTATGACGGCTGAATGGCGACACCCAAATGGTACCGTCGACATTCGAATGACCGCGTCTATGCCCGAATGGTTGCGTCGATGCCCGAATGGGTGCGTCGACGCCCGAATGGCTGCGTCGACGCCCGAATGGCTGCGTCGACGCCCGAATGGCTACGACGACTTTCGAACGGTGGCGGCGTCGCCATCCGCACGACCACGTCGACAGCGAACCGGTTTAAGGCCGGCCACATACAATCGGAATTCCGTTTCTGAACTTCGATTCGGGATTCCTTATATACATTACACACATACGTTTATTTCCGTTCGGAATATCAAGACAAGGTTGAGAGACGCGAGACATTGAGACCAAATGTTCTCGTAGCAAAAATACGTACGGAATTTGTGACTTTGCGTTGCGAACCTACAAAATTTATGGAAGATTTTAATTAGAATGGCTTTTTGCGTGCTGAATTCCCAATTCACAAACGACCACATGGAATTTACAAAACGGACAGTATTTAGAACAGTATAGTACTGTGTGTTACAGGTTCATGGTTTGTATAGTTTAGCTGCCTTCGAAGTTCCGAAACGGAATTCCGTAACGGGATTCCGACTGTATGTGGCCAGCTTAACGCTATATGATCGCCTCTAGCCGATCCCGCGTTGATAAGGATCGTGCTTCCCTTATGTATACTTCAATAAACTACCATCTACGTATCCATTTCTCATAATCTTCCTTCGCCACAAACCGTCCACTTCGGTCTTAATAGGGAAAAAGACGAAAAGGTACTGTCTGTGGACCAATGTAGACTAGTGTGACCTACTACTAAGCACCGCGACATCTGACAATCAGTGTTTTAATACGAAAATAGAGAAAGTAGTATAGCCTGTGGTCTGATCATGTGGTATCATGTTGATGCCTATGCCACTAGTTAGGAAAATCGGTACCTTCAATTCCATGAAGAGACAGGCTTGGGAATCTCCAGCGATGCATCAGAATCTTTTCTTTGTCACCATTGTGGGCCAGTTTCTGAGCCCCAATAGAGGTTCTGCAAGAAAAATTACTTAATGTAAAGGGATTCTTTAGTTGGTAATGTATAACATCACAAGAAAATAAAGTTTTAGAGTCATGAGCTTTGAAGGACCAAAAGTGATAGCTGATGCCGCGCATTTGTGTGCAGCAACATATCACATCACTATGCTGTGATAAGCAACAACTTAACTCCGATATAGGACATTTTTGTGAAGCCTGCGAGTGCGCCACCCAGCAAAGATTTGCTAACATAATATTGGGTCCTCCTGAGGATTGACATTCTATTTCGAATCACGATCTTCATTACCACCAAGATCAGACGGCCGATATGTCACCACTAGCCCGCGTCCAGCGAAGCCTGATTCCAGGTTCCAATTCCGAAAACATCGTGAACGACTCACGATAAACCGTACGATGTAAAGTTGCTCTCTCCATCACCGTGACTGTAAAGATGCGCACTTGAATACAAGATATATCGAGTGCCAACGTCTATCACTTAAAGAAAGAACATCTAATTCAAGAACTACGAAAGCAAGCATCTGTGCTTAGATTTATTTATTTACTATTAATATTCAGCTATTCGCTTCGCAGAATAAAAAAAAATAGAGAAGAATAAATCCATAAGCAAGTCGGGGATTTAATACTTATAATAGTCATAGTTTCACTAAAGTCAAAAGTCAAAAATCATATATTCCATAGGTAAAATAAATTTACTGAGAGGAACGAGCAGAAACATTTGTAGGTTGCTGTTTTCAAATAAACTTAAATGCCATGGAATACACTTTAAATCGAATTTTTGTAGAATCTAGAGCCATGTCGTCTTTTGATAATTATGCTTTATCAAAATCGTAGTCTTTTTTATAATATCAAGTGACGGGACGAACAAGTCGTGCGCCTGTGGTAAGCTACACGCCTGTCCATAACAGTTGCAGTGCCACTCAGAACTTTAAATCGCATAGATCTGAAGGGCACCCGTCATCTTGAGACATAAGTTGACAAGTTCCATGTGCCTGTAATTTCATCAGCAACCTTACCCTTCAAAACCGGAACGCAGTAATGCTGACAGTACTCATTGGCGGCAGAAATAGGTAAGGTGGCAGTACTTCCCTGGAGTTCGTCCAGGGAGCTCTTTCACAAGGTCTACTACAACTAAGTCTTCAATTTTGTAATGCCTTATCAATTAAAATACTTTTAATGCAAGTTTGAGTTATAAGTTTCAAACCAGCCACCTAACCACTCAAGACGAGAAACAACTCAATTTCATTAGACGATGACGCGGCAACACTGCGCTGAAGAATAGCAATATCATAGAGCTGTTTATCGCCCTATCCACGATTTAAAAAGACTTAGTAAGCCTTATCACAAACTACAAAGAGTTACTAGGCCTTATCAAGTTAGCCTTCAAATGAAGTGTAATTATCCGAAAACTATTCATTGTTAAAATGTAAAAACGTACTTGTAAGCCTCTGTGTCGAAATCGATGGTAGTATAAAGCTTCTTCTCGGTTTCAGTCAACGGGGCTACGGATTTGTAGATATCTGTGACCAGGATCTTGCCATCTTTGTCCACTAGGGTATCCATGAGGTATATCAGGTCGGACATCGCTAAAAACATTAATTAGGTACTTTGGTGTAGCTACATTAATTGAAATTTTAAGTAGTTATTTGTGAAATCCTTAACAGAATTAACAAGCCAATTAACAATATTGATCGCCTAACATTTAAGGATTGCCACCTTTAGAGGTGGAATATTTCCTTCCAATATGAATGGGACCACTACTGGGACACACTTTCCAACAAAAAAAGAATCATCGAAATCGGTTCACAAACCGCACCCTCATGGAAGAATGGCATAAGGTTATGTCAACAACCTTTAATGCTCCATTAGATACAGAAAAATATAACTCACATCCTCTCCAATTCTTATAACTCTATCGACTAGTATTTTATATGTGGGTTATATTTTACGTATCTAATAGAGCAATAAACATTTTTGACGTAAACCACTTTATGTCATTCTTCCTTGAAGGGTGCGAAATGTTGGGAGTTAACAAAAATATAGACGAATTGAGAAACTCCTCCTTTTTGAAGTCGGTTAAAAATGTAACCATGTGTATCCCAGTGCCACCAACATAAAATAACGGCATTCCATATTGGAATTTTAGAAATATCAGTTACACAAATCCATTAAAATTCATAATTAAATAAATATTTATTTAGTATTACGAAACTCCCTGTACGAGCAATACCACATTAAGTTGACTCGAGTACAGTCATAAATAGTCTCACGTAGGTACATTTATGTACGTGACACTTACGTACTTAATTTAAGGGGTACTAATATGCTTTTGTTGTAGTCGACAAATACATCATAAATTACTATTTTCAAATATTGGCTACGATCTACAAACATAAAACAATAGTTATTTGTTATGCTAAGCTGCAAAGCTGTTGTTTGATGAGAGTGCTTGTATTGTAACCTGAGCAAGCGAAGGTGGATAAGACTGAACCACGAGCGAAGCGAATGGTCCAAAGATAGACGTAACATAGCGTGAGCGTAGCGGGGGTTTCAAGGCATGAGACGCAAAACAACTTTGCAGCCGAGCGAAACACACAACTATTCACCTTACTATAGGGAGGAAAATGGTAAATTAAAGAAAACAGTTGAACTTTATAACATCAGGTTTTTTAAATAAGAAAAAGTTTATCTCCGTATGAGTTCTGAACTTACACCTCATCAATTCTTATTCTTGCTTATACTTTTAATAAATTAATAAACACAATTAGTTATCATTGTCAATTTAATGTCAAGAACAATAAGAATAAAATATGCCAAAGGATTTATATTACATAAATAAGTAATGTACGACAAATCGCGTAGTTGAACATGTCATTATCTTTTTTTATCGAAAGAAAAAGTTAGGTGCACCACGGTCCATCGTCAAGTTCGAATTTTAAAAACCTTTTCCACGCTAGCGTGCTAAAAACGCTTTTGCGCGCAGATTTCTAATGAGAAAGAAAGCCTTTCCGAGCTAGTGAAGTGAAAATGAGTATTGACACTTATTTCAGATAAAATGAATGGCTTTTGTTACTGGTTTTCATATTATTTTTCATTAAGCATTACCGAAACAATAGGTACCAATTTATATCAATCTTATAGATAAAATTGTTGGCAAGTGTATTACTTGAGATATATGATGATGATAAAACGATATTTAATCTAGTACTAGATTAAATATTGCTTGCGGAGATATACTCAATTTTTGATGGTTTTGATCAATATTTGATGATAAACTCTTAAGATATTGAAAATAAGATAAGATTTATTAAATATTTTTAAGATGAAATTCGTTATTTTGTTCATATTAGGGGCACTAATAAATGAATAGCAAGTAACAGATTTTTTTAAACATACGAAAAAGTTAACAGGAATAAAATAGTAATTAACAACTAACAAGTGCAGGCAACAAGTAAGTATTTAAATCTAGTCACAGTAACCATTTGCTATAAATGTTATAATATTGTTATGCCTTATAAGTCGATGTAATAATTTTACCTGGCCGAAATATACACTTCGTACACAATTAAGTATAACGTGTCTAAGTAGTAATAAAATTGATCACTTAACTGTACTTAATTAAACATTGCACGTTGCACTGTATTGTTAGTTATAAAAAAATATGAAGTGGCTTAAATGCTGTAAAAATAACATGTTTTTGTAATTCATTGACTGATAAAAGGTCGGAGTTGTGCAACTCTGCCGTCCTTACAATAAACAACGTATAATCAACATTTTTTTTTGCGAAATTGAGATAACATAATCTGGAATTAACGAAACGAAATCTGCAATCCCTATAAGTGTTTTTATATCTTATTTAGTTTCAGTTTTCTTGTTAAGCAAAATCCAAGTCAACAAAATGTAAATGCGTTGTTTATGACAAGAAGGACAGTACTGCAGTTTTTCAATTTCTAAATATCTAAAATGATTTTTACTTACCCTCATGTACAGTGCCTCCATAAACTCCACTATGAAGGTCCATTTTGGCACATTCCACCTCCAAGAAATAATAACTAATGCCTCGAAGACCATAAGTAATGCACGGCTTCGTGGTTCCCAACCAGTAGTTGTCAGATATGCAGACGTAATCAACATCTTTAAAGAAACCTTCCGGTTTTAGTTTCTCAATCAAAAGAGCATCTAAACCTTCCGAGCCAGATTCTTCCATGCATTCGAATATGAATTTGAGGTTTACAGGCAACTGTGAAAAATAATTTTGTTTTAAAAAAAATATTTTTTTTAATTACTTTGGCACATCTTAAAAAGAACATAAAGCAGTAATCGCTGGCATTGTTACATATAAATTGGTAAACACTTTTTTGTCAAGAACCTATGAAATTTGGCAATTTTGACATTGGCCTCTTTTTGCAAGCGACATTGAGAATTGGAATTTAAATCTATATTTAGCACTATTCAGCTGTTCATTGTGTTGTTTAACTTTAAAACTGTTCATTCATTTTATTATAAAATTATTGTATGAACAAATTAAAAAAGATCATCGTCTCAGCCCGTTAACACCCACTGCTAGATATAGGCCTCCTCTTTTGCACGCCAGCTCAACCGGTCATGTGCGAGTCTCATGCACAGTCTTCCGGCCATTCCGACGATATCGTCCGATCATCCAGTAAGTGGTCTACCTCGAGGACGTCTCGCTCTTACCGGGTACTACGCAGTGATCGTCTTGGTCCATCGGCGGTCGTCCTGCCTAGCAACGTACCCTGCCCATCTCCATATTAAGCTCGCGATCCGAAAACCGACGTGTACGACTTTAGTTCGCTGTCGTATTTCCACGTTGGATATACGGCCGACGAGGGAGTTAAAAAAAAGAGTTTAAATAATCATACTTCAGCATTTCTAGCCTCTTTCGAATTATTTTACGTGTCGTTTTTAACACCAAAAGCACCTACTACAAGTCCAGAATCCGTAAAGTAAAACTAAACAAAATATAAAAATGTTTTACACACCTCCTCTCCTACGCCTTTGTAAGCATTAATGGCATGAAGCCAACCCAGTACTGGGCCCTTATCATCAGTCGAACCTCGACCGTACAGTTTGCCATTCCTCTCTACAAGTTCAAAAGGCTCTGAAGCCCATCCATCTGACTTAAGAGCTGGCTGGACGTCTAAATGACCATATATGCAAATTGTGTTCTTCCTTGTATCCTGTATGAGATGATAAAAATACTGTAAAATATCACTTTTACAACACCTGAATATACTTCCAAGGTTCAAAGGATTGCAACATTTCATCATTTTAAAAGGTTAAAAGGTATATACGACCATGCAATAAATATGAAATTATTACATTTGTATTTCTAGGTATAATCGTAGATGTTAAATTGCTAAGGGGTCCACATATTACAAGTTATCAAAACGGCTCTATTCTGACAGTGTACGCGATTTAAAAAATACGAAACTTTCAGACATAGAACAGCTAGATACGTTTACTTCAGCTACTTTCACATTTTAATGGCAAACGACATCTTGCTCTGAAGTAATGCCGCCGATATTAATAGAATCTTTGTCCTGCAGAAACGTGGTTAGGGCAATTTTTTTCTGGGCCCCAGAGTGTGTTTGAGAAACAAGTTTAAAGAGATTAACATTCTTACACTAACGTCACAGTACATTTATGAAAATGTTATTTATGACAACAATTTTTTTTATGAAAAATATTGAGATACATAACATTAATACGTGGAATAAAAATAAACTAGCTGTTCTTGACAGTCGTCTTCACAAAGTCTCAAATTCGTTTAAGGCGTAATGTATACGCTTCTATAATATGATTCCGATTGATATTCAAAATTTGCCATTTACGAGGTTTAAAACTATACTGAAACAAAAACTTTATAAGTACTAAAGGTTACTAAAGGACAAAAATCCGTGGTAGTGACCCATTTAGCTCTTGTAGGTAGTCTCAATCTAAGATGATTAAATTAAATATTGTAATGATAAATGTTCAATACTATGTATATTTACAAAGAGCAACCCCTTTTCTTGCTCGTTCTTCTCAGTTAAACTAATAGATGCGCAAAGGTCAATATTATAGGTTGATAGTAATTAATAGGAATCAACTGTAACTGTAATGCTATTAAAAACATATCTTCATAGCAAAAAAAATTCCCAATGTGAATTCTAACGTCAATCTAACTTGAACATCATAATATTCTCTTATTCCAAAACAAGCCTTACAAGCGAGATTCATGTATTTACCTAATGAACGAACTAATGAATTGAACTGTTTTGTTCACATTTTATTGTTTTAGACATGCATGTCACTAATTCCAAAGCTATTAATAAAAATTTATCAATTGAAACAAGAGTCATCATGGTACACTCAGCTACAGATGAAGTTAGATAGAAACGCTACAACATTGGCGTAAAAGGAAATAAGTATTTGCAGGATACAGGGCTGATAACGGGGTCAAAGTGTTAGGACAAAAATAAAGCTTTATTATGACGCTCTTTGTTGTTGATGCCTTTGTTTTAGCATTGCAATACTGTAGAGTATCTATCAAATGTTATTACGGTACTCTATCCACTCAATCAAAGAGCTTATTGTTATCAAAAATCTTTCTCTTTTCTTTTTATATTTAGTTCATCCATGTTTTTTTTTTTTTCAATAATATCAAGTGACGGGACGAACAATCGTGCGCCTGATGGTAAGCTACACGCCTGTCCATGACAGCCTTGCTGGCCGTTCCGTCAATGTGGCTGTCAATATGCAGGGCGCGATGCACTACTCAAAGCTAGGGAGGGGCGGAGAGTCACCATTCTCGTTACTACTTTATAGTCTGCTTTGGTAAAACGTTATCACTTATCAGTTAAAAGTTAAGTTAGGTAAAAAAGGGTATTAACAGTTATCTAGTGCATTTTTTTACATGGCACCATTAGAATTACTTTAAAATCCAACTTCGACTACCTAGGTCAGTAGTTTAGTCCTACGGTACAGTAAAATCATTTCTGGAAATCCATAATTCGAAAAAAGGAATTAATTGTAGCTATATCTATACATGTATCTATATCGTGGAACATCTTTTTCGGACCCTTGATTATTATGTATATATTACTTTATAGCATAGTTTCCCAAAGTGGGCCCTACCACCGCCCTGTGGGCGGGCGAACCAATTGGGGGGGCGTTGATACTATCCAGGGGGTGCGACCGAATTTGAAACAGAAAAATCTAAATTATCTATATAAATTACACTACAGTAATTTTTTTCCTTGTGATTGTTAGTGTTATTTTTATAAAATAGGTGTTTTCAATTATTTTTGTGGTGGTGGGACGTGAATTCTTTTTCCTGCATATGTTTGCGGTGAGCCACAAAATTTGGGAACCTATGGTCTATAATAAGCAGGGATCGGAATAGGTAGAGCTTTTTTACCTAAACTTCAAAGAACATCACAGAAAATGGAGACTGACTTACGACAATATTTTTTAGATCCTGGACCTTTTCGGGATTCTTAAATTGCTTAAGAACATTAAAAATTTATGTAATTAGGAACAGCCAGGTACACTACATTTATCAACTTTGCGACGCACAGTGGGTCGGATCTGCGATATTGCGGACATTAGATTTTTTTCACGATACCTCTCTAAAAATTCCAATTGAGAGATCCTATTGTCGTAATTAAATATTGTCATATCACATTTTGCCACAAATGTAATAGTTTAGTAGGAAAAAAAAAAAAAAAAATTTTTGTATGGGACTATACCTTTAGTGCCCCTTCATTACAGTCTTAGGGTCGTATTCTAGAACTCTATTCAATGCTCAAGTCAGGATTGCACTGGCAACACAAGCACTGGAAATACGACCCTAATGGCAGGGACTTGAGTATGATTTTGAGTGCTTTAAACCATACTCAAATCCTGACTTCAGCATTGAGTAGAGTTCTAGAATACGACTCTTAGTCGATCCAGTCTTGGAATTTAGTTGTGTTGATTTGTGTTGTGCTTAATTAGTGTGCAAATCTATAGAAGATAGGTCTAATAATACGTCTGTAGTGTCGAGTTCTTAGGTTTTCGCGATTGTTACACATAGGAAATGAAACTATTTTTCCGGATTTCAATCGCGTATATTTGTTTTTTCAAACAAATCGACGTTGCGTAAACAAGTCTGCAGTCTGCGAGCATGTCATAGATAAACCTACACATTCAATGAAGTTTGACAAACCCCAGGTCCTTGCAAAAGAAGTCCGTTATCTACCCAGGATGCTGCGAGAGGCCATTGAAATTAAAAAACATCCTAATTTCAACAGGGAAGATGGTTTCTCCTTACCACCAGTTTGGGATCCAGTATTTCCTCTGATGAAAAATCCCAAACAGACATAAATCAGACTGCAGTACTAATTAATATGTTTTAGTTTATTCTAGTTTCTATTATTAATTAATAATAAATTGAAATTAATAAAAATTCCTTCAATAAAATAATTTGTGAAACTTAATGTAGCGTAAATTGGAATGTTTTCTTTGTAAAATTAAAAATAAGGCATTTAATTAATAACTATTATAACTATAGTGAAAAAATAGGGTGGTTTGCATTAATATTAGACATAACTGGTTGAAGACTGTACCACCTCAGTCAACCTTGACCATGGGGCCCGTAAAGGGCCCGAAACGTTGGTTTGTTTGAAAAAACAAATATACGCGATTTAAATCCAGAAAAGTAGTTTCCTACGTCTGTAGTGATTCCAAGACTGGATCGACTAAGACTTTGTAACAATGGGGCATATGAGTATTGGTTGTATTCAACCAATAATCGTATTTATGAGCAATTTTTGCACATTTTCTGATTTGTATAAGTAGTGCATAGGCAGATCTGGGCGTGCGTTTAGTGTGCAAATCTACAGAAGATAGGACTAATAATACGTCTGTAGTGATTCCAAGACTGGATCAACTAAGACTTTGTAATGATGGGGCACTAAAGGTATGGTCCCATACAAAAAATACACATTTAATTTTTTTCCTACTAAACTATTAGGTTTATGGTAAAATGTGATATGACAATATTTAATTAGGACAGTAGGATCTCACGACATACATTTTTTTTAGAGAGGTATTGTGAAAAAAACCCAATGTCTGCAATATCGCTGATCCGACCCTTTGTGTTGTAAAGTTAAGATAAATATAGTGTACCTGCCTGCCCCCAATTACGTCAATTTTTAATGTACTTAAGTGATTTCCAGAATCCTGAACAGGTCCAGGACTTAAAAAATATTGTCGTAAGGCAGTCTCCAATTTCTGTCCATGTTCCACGAAGTTTAGATAAAAAAACTCTGCCAATATTCCACTCCCTAATAATAAGGTATGCATTTATTATTAATGAAAACTAGAACCTCCAGTTTTAATTCTAGAATCCTGTAAAATGGGGTTGAGTCTTTTTAATAGGCCTTAAAAGACTGAGGGTCGTATTCCAGAACTCTCCTCAGTGCTATTCTACTTGAACATTGAGTAGAGTTCTGGAATACGACCCTGAGTCTCTTTCATCACTAGCCATGGAACATCTAGGGACAGTACTTTAAATATTGTAGATAAGATATTTTGCTGCATGAAGTATTACTTACTTATTTAATTTTTGTAAATAAGTAATACATTTGAACATTTTCAAAAAAAAATAACCAAATGTAACAAAACCGGCACATCTATGTGCCAATCGAAAGGGTTTATTTAATTCTCAGATAAGATAAGCAAATTTTTTAAGTTCTACTTACATTTCCCAAAACGCCCACCAACACTGGCGGCAGTTTAATCTCTTTCCCGTCAATGGTTTGGTACCCAATATCCCTTAGTTCGCTCTTGGCTCCAACTTCTTTCAGCTTCTCTTTCATCCACTCCACCATACGAACACAATCTGCTCTGTACTTGACATCGCTGGACACCGACGGGATCGCCACAGCTTCCTTCAAAAGACTTTTATAACTGGAGACATTCTGGTCAACAAACTTGAATATCTGCGGAAGCGACTTCTCTGGGGCCATTTTAAGCTGACTCGATATTAATTGCTGTGACGCGGACTTTGTCGTATAGAGCGACCGGCAATGGAGCGAAATTGATATTGATGCAGGTTTTAAAGCCGGCACTCGTAGTCTAAGACGCAACGTTTTTAACGAGAAGAGAGACATATTAAAACGAAAGAGATGCTAATAGAAAAGTGACAGTGACACTAGAAAAACAGGTGACGTTTGACAGCTGTCTCTTTTTTTATTAATAGTTTTGGCTTGGATACAAGTCCTTTGAGCCATGTCTTCGTTTAATTATCAGGATCCTCAATAATATTTTCTGTTGTAGTTCTAATATATTAATTATCACTTTCTCTTAAATAACTTACTTCACTTATTTGGATTTTTAAATAGCCTTTTAAGCAACGGGAGTCAATATTTATGTTTTACTTTCACATCACATCATCTTCTATTACTTTGAACAAAAACTTTGAATTTGTAATTAATTTAATTATTTTTTAATTATTGTATTAAATATTATATATTTATATTATATTAAATATAATAAATATTATTTTTTAATTATTAATTAATTTAATTAAAGTAATTTGGTTTAAAATAAGGAATATAGTTCTAACTTTCTTCATCACTTTTTCTTTCTTCGTTTTTTCTTCATAATACACTTAAAATTAAAATAATGTTTGTAAAACTGTGCTCGTAATTTCAAAAACCCGCCATTCTTTTCAAAATCGACAGCTGTTTCCTTAGAGGATGGAAAAAAAGCTGTTTCTGAATGGTAGTAAAATTTTTCGTCTTTCGGGACTAGCCAAGGCATCTAAGCCGTTCCGCCCTTGCCAGCTTAGATTTTACTAAAACGACCCATTCACTACCTGCATGGCAGCCCGCCGCGCAGGCAGGAAATTGATCACATACTATCCTGCGTATGGCCCACGAATGGAGTCTCGTAAGACGCATTGCAGGACTGCACGTTGGCTTGCACGCTGTGACTACATTCATTATCCTGCATTACGCGGCGGACAGCAAGACGCAATGCAGTGCAGGATAATGAATGCCCCCTTTTATTAGGGCAATAACAATATCATTGGGGCAATATGTTTATTTTAAACGTGAAGCAAATTTGCCGAAGACTTGCCATTTCATTTTATTGAAAAGCTGATTGAAAATTATATTCATAGATTACTTCTGTAAAACTAATTTCTTTTTTCAGTCTAGCACTGTGGGCAACTGCCCGGTTTTAATTTTATCGGTTATTTGAAAATTTTAACGGCTTTAATCGGGTTAATGATCGAAAACGAGGTCAAAAACTGACCTTGAGACTGTGACACCGTAAGCCCAAATCAGTAATTCGGGGACGTTGGAATCATTTCGGGATAGCGAGAAATCACGCCAGAGAAAGCCATTTTCGTAAAAATATCTTAAAATAATTTAAATTTCCTTAAATATATTTCTCTGGCTAAATAAATATATTTATCGACCAGCAATAAAATGTGTCAGTCAACTTAAGTACAAAATACTTCGTCATATGAAATGTACCAACGTACCAAAAAAATCAACTTCTTATGCGTCCTAAAACCCGCAACGTTTCCGAGAATTAAATGAAATTAAATATTTGTCAACAATGATATTCATAATGAATATTTCTGCAGTCAGAAACATTCTCGGAAATATCCCATCTTGAGAGCTCTTCTATGACCGTCCAATTTTAAATGCGTTGGTAGCCCACAAATTAGTAGTTTATGTTGTATCAGCGCGGTACCAGCATGAATAAGATAAGGAAAAGGGGAAAAGGGTAAAATCGTGGGCTGGGAAAAGAATTTCGTTTTTTGATTAGTTGCTAATGTTAATTTTGTTATTATGCAGCGCAGCAAATGAGAGTCCATAAGATTGTGAGGTAGACATTGGGATTGCCTATTTTACGTGTAAAAAAATATTTTTTAGACCTAAATATTGCAAATAAGTATGGAATTATACCAATTGTTTTCAATTATCATATTATTTAAAGCGTATAATGGTTTCTGCCCTTTGGGCAAAAACCCGGGCGGGGAGATTGGGTTTTAACTTTTAACCCATCTCATCTTTTAATCATCTCTGAACATTAGTAACTTAAATTCTAGCCATAAGTTAGTTATAATAACGTTTGGAACATCGGTTTGGATTGTTTATATAACATCATTGGGTTTGGAATGAAAATTGCAGTAAAGAGAGTCTACAAAAAAAGGTATTCAAAATTTCCAGTTCCGGAAAGTGACAGTTATATTTAAACTTCTTTGTAGCCTTTGCATAAAACAATCCGCCATAAAACTAAAAATTTTTTGTAAAATTTCAAATATGAGTTGAGTGTAATGTTGCTACAATTTCATCGTAAACGAACTCGTAAAATGTAAAATGTGAAGACGCGTAAATAAGGTAGATTTTTGACACACCATAAGATATAATCATAAAAATTTTACTTACCTATCCGTTCTTTACCTGTCATGTAAATGTCCTGGCATTACACTGCAGTATTTTACAATCGATTACTAACCCATTTAACTCGTATCTATCGTTTAGTATGGAAGTAATAAAATGCATAAATTATATTAGGTCTTATTATTATTATTATCATCAGTGAAGATAGGTAGATAATAAGTACATCCAATATAATCTTGATTTTTATTTCCAGAAAACGAGATATACCTTATTTACCTATATACCTTATATTATAGGTAATTAAGTAGAGATGGAGAAAGAAGATCAAGAACAAAATTTAAGATATCAACAGAAGTTCGTTGCGAATGTCGATAGCCAATCATTATTTGTGTACTTTTTTAACTATTTGAAACTAATTAAATTGATGATTTCGAAATTTGATACATATACAGACCAAAGTAAAATAAATTTAAGCAACCTAGCTGGAAGACAAAATTGTGACGATCTCCGAGAAATAGAAATTCAAACAAAACTAGATAAAAACATTTCGCCCAGAATGGAGGTTATAGAAACAAAATTATTATCGTCTGAGGACAAGATCAGGAACCAGAAAGCAGCAGGACGACCAGCAAATGCTAAACAAGTTAATGATATCGTGGAACAAAAAGCTGCTTTGATACTAAACCCCAGATTCGATATAGCGGGTTTAGTTTGCTCAAAGTATATAAATAGTAGGGACTCATGCTTAGTGAGCCCCATGGTCAATTCCGATTTCATTGACAGTAGTAACTCATGCGCAGAAAAGCAAGCGCCCACAAGGCCCACGTCCGAATGCCACTTACTAAACCTGACGAAGACGGATCTAACATCAAATTACGTCAGTTGCAAGAAAATTTTTAACTCTGAAGACGCCATTACTCTTAAGTTGGGTACACTAATACAAAGTATGATGAGAAATGTTCTAAATATAACCCAAGATGTTAACAGTAGTGAGGTTTCAATAGAAGGATTTGCAGTTACAATGTCGATAGACATTAGGAAACACAAGCAAGGTATAGATTCAATTGAATTGAACGATAAAATTAGTAGTATTACGAAACAGTTGGCTGTCCAGTTTAAAGAAGGATTACCAACCATTGCAAACATACAAGATTTAAACACGATTATAACGAATCGTATAGAACAACAACCACAAGACGAAGTACTTCATGACGATCGATTGTTAGTTGTTGAAGAAGAACAAGATATGTTTAGTTTGTTAGATGGAGTTTGTTCAGACGACACATTAACTTTAGAAAATATAACATCGGTAATCGACTTGACTTGTTGTGACACATTAGAAAATATAACATCGGTAATCGGCTTGACTTGTTGTGACGAATTGAACAAAGAAGAATTAAAGATAACAAGTACAACTAACATGGAAAACGTACAACAAGACGAAATATTTTATGTTGATAAATTGCGAGCTGTTGCGGAAGAAGAAATGTTAAGTTTAGTCAATGGAGATTTTTCAGGTAACGCATTAACTTTAGAAAATGGAACACCAGTAGTCGACTTGGCATGTAATAAAGAATTCAACAAAGAAGAATTAAAAGCAATGAAGGCAACTGCTATCGAAGAACTACGAAGACAAAACGAATTACTTCATAGCGATCAATTGCCAGCTGTTAATAAAGAAGAAGAAATATCAAGAGTTGCTGATAGAATGTGCTCAAATGATATATCGATTGTAGAAAATAGAATATTAATACAAAACTTGCAATGGAATGAATTACTTTTTGATGATAAAAAAGAAATTTCAACATTTAAGTTTAAAAAAATGGTAACTAAGGATTTGAATAATGAATTAAAAGAAATGGAAAATACTGAATTGAATAATGAATTATTAGAAATTGTAAATAGTGAATTAACGCAATTGGCAACTATTGAAGAAAATACCGAATTACCTGAAATCAAAAGTAAGTATGAAGTAAAACAATGCTCAACTATAAGTCTATCATACAAGAAAAATTCAAATATTGAAAATAGTGTATCAAGTTCTGAATACGGTAAGAGTAAGAAAACAAACCTACCTGTCAGTAAATATTGCACAGCGACTGAGGATTTCTTACAATTGTTAAGTATTTTAAATGATACGTTTGTCAATGGGCCATTAATGTTTTCTGTCATGGTACCCGCATTTTACTTTCGAACTTGGTATTTCCAGAACATAAGACAGGGATTTTTATTATATATCATGTTAAGAAAGGCAAACATTAGCACACTCAACTATATGCGAAATCTCTACTTTGTAATAATAACAACAGATTCACAAAGCATACGAATAATAGTAAACTTTGCATTACAAAACGCAACATTACTGCATTTCAAAGAACCAGCAGTTTATTTTACAGACGACTGCAGTAGATATGCAGTTTCTGCAAAAGAAGTTCAGCAGATATTTTGTCCCGAAACTGGCATAGTTGAATCTTGTACAACTTACGAAGATAGTATACATTATAGCAATAACACTAACATCCAGAGTCGAAGTGATCTCGTCTCGACATATAGCACTTTGCTGGATGAGAAGACAAATGCCGCTACATCGTACTTGCGTTTGGACTGGTATGACGAGCTCCAAAGAAAAGACGTAGCTGTTGGAGAATCAAAGTTCGAGCTGCAGTCTGACATCTCAAAACTCAAACTAAGCGGCATGTACAGTTCCCGTAATAACACCTGCCCCACAAATGTATTAAGTGTACCGAAAACTGAAATAGGTACTTTTTTTATTCACAACGTAAACGAGACTGTATTTGAACAATTTTCTGTAGATAGATACACCGAAGCGGTCTTTGGTAAGGGTAACTCAGATTTTTACAACATATTTTTTAAGTGTTTAGGTCACACCATAGCTTGTTCCATGTTGAGTTTTTTCATTTCTATGATGTAAACTTCGTAAAGATTTACCAAAATATGAAATAAATGAAGTGCAAAGTTGGTAATGAAATTGTTTTTATCGTTGGCTCCTGTAAACCTAATTTCCTTTATTTTTGGCAAAGAGTTTCTCATGCTTCACACAAAAAAGGTGTAATAGCCAAACCACATTGCAAAGCATCCTCAATCCTTTTTCATTTTTATAACCACTTTTACGTAAAAATAACATTTTTCGCCAAAAGATATTTCTTTGACTAAATTACTAAAGAAAGAAAAAAACATTTATTCGACTATTCACAAATAATATTATAAAAATAACAACTAGATACCTGTTAAAAATAAACAAAGATAATTGATTAAAAAGTAACGTACTCAATATTAGTCGAAAAGGTTAGCTAGCTCAGCTTTGTGCAAGGCCTCTGCCCTTAGCGCTGGTTTCCAGCTGGAGCCTAAGAGGAGATAGACGGTTTTAAATACTTAACATAACTAACATTTATATTATAAACATTTATATTATAAATGTTAGTGATTTCAAACCAAGAGTTGAATAAAATAAAATTTCGAATTACGACAAATTAATTAAAAACAGGAATATAATTAAAATGATCCTACGAATGTTCATTGTGCTCATAAAACTATTAACCATTCCAATCATCATCTCAGCCCGTTAACACCCACTGCTGGTTATAGGCCTCCTTTTTTGCACGCCAGCTCAATCGGTCCGGTGCGAATCTCACCCACAATCTTCCGACCACCCGGACGATATCGTCCAACCAGCTGGCAGGTGGTCTACCTCGAGGACGTCTCGCTCCTATATAGTAACACACAGTGACCGCCTTGTTCCATCGGTACGTCGTCTCGCCTAGCGACGTATCCTGCCCATCTCCATTTTAGGCTCGCGATCCGCATACCGCCGTGTACGACCCTTGTTCGCTGTTGTATCTCCACGTTGGGTATACGGTCGACGAGGGAACTGCCGAGTATGGTGCGCTCCGCCCTTTGTGCTACTGTGATTTTGTGCATGCATTCCTTTGTGAGCATTCCAATAAGTATAACAAAAATGTCCATATGTGTCTGAGTATATAATAATTGTTACAACTGTAATAACTGTAATAAATGTAATAACAATATGCGAGTAATAATTGTAATAACTAATAAATGATAGGGAAAAAAAATTGATTACATGGATCCTTTCACCGTTTATCTGTCGCATCAATGCTATTTCCTTACTTTTTCTACGGAAGCCCGATACAAAAACTGCGTTGCGTATATGAGGCAGAGATAGTCGCAAATCTTCGCTGCGGAGCACTTGAAAACTCCCCTGAAATGTTGCCGTTTGTAAGGGACAATTAACCGACTGAGGCGAAATCGCGACGACCATTTTAAATTTTTTAACCATTTCAAACAGGTATAGCGGTTTTCCATGTTTTATTACACCAAAAAGGAGAGTGGCAAAGTAATCGACGTGAAGTCATAAAATATTGAATAGTTTTTCTCGAGCTAAATGATTTCTAGGCGGTATTGTATAGCAAAAATCTTAGGCATTCTTTAGGCGATAAAAGCATACGAGTATATAACTTCTGTTATATGGGATTGAAAACGCAGCTAGGAATCCATTATGAGTCCCAGATAGCACGCTTCACGAATACTTGCTATTGCCTCTCCGTATATGATTAGTTTGGGTACCCTCGAAACCGTTCTATAAACTTGTTGTCTTGAGCCTAATACAATGAACTTGAACTTGTTGGGGTTTAGTGTGAGCGAGTTACACTTTGACCACTGGCAAATCCTGTCTAAGTCTTCATTCATCCTTTTCACTGTTGCATCAATATCACTTGATTTGCACGACAGGTACATAGATTTGTAGGTCATCAGGGTACAAGCTATATCGGCAGTTCTATATGAAGAGTAGAGGTCCCGAAATAGAGCCCTGGGGGACACTGCTGTTAACATGAGCAAGAGACGACAAAGACACAGAACCATCGCTCCTACCAATCTGAACATACCGAGAACGATTAATTAGGTAACTATCAAACCATTTGACCGTAAGTTCGTCAAAACCATAATAGACTAGTTTTTTTACTTAATTTTGTAAGGCAAAGAAAAATGATTCTTTGTGCAGACTGATTACAGATTAATGTTGAATATCATTAATATTATAATTAATATAACTGCCTCCGTGGCCGAACGGTCACTATGCCGGACTGCCATGCAGAGGTCCCAGGTTCAATTCTCGGGTACGCTCCATACTCTGTAAGACTATGGAGCGTGTATTGAACAGCCGTCTCCTTGGATACCTCGAAGATAACGATCTCCTCAGTGATCGACAATATGGTTTTCGCCGTGGACGATCTACTGGGGATCTTCTTGCGTACGCCACACATTTATGGAGCGAGGCTGTCGAGAAACGCGGTGAATCGCTTGCCGTGTCTCTCGACATATCAAAGGCCTTTGATAGGGTTTGGCATGATAGCCTGTTAAACAAGCTTCCAGCTTACGGAATTCCTGTTGGCTTTTGCACATGGATAGGCGATTTTCTGAAGGATAGGTCAATCCGTGTAGTTGTAGATGGTTACTCGTCTGCTCCTCATGGTATAAATGCCGGTGTACCTCAGGGATCTGTCCTCTCCGCCACTCTATTCTTGCTGCATATCAACGACCTGCTGCTGATGCCCGGTATCTTTGGGTACGCAGACGACAGCACAGTGGCGGTGAGTTATGTGCCAGACGCCCGAGACAACAGTGAAGAGATCCGGTGTAAGCGAGAGGCGATGGTCACCCGGTTGAACCTGAGTCTGAAAGCTGCTTCCGACTGGGGAGATGCTAACAGGGTCAGGTTTAATGCGGCTAAAACACAGGCGTGTCTTTTCTCATCAAAACGGAGTCCCCTACACCTTACTCCGACTTTCCGAGGTGTATCCGTGCCGATAAGGGACCACCTTGAGCTACTTGGTCTGGACTTATCATCCAACCTCAACTTTGGGCGATACATCGAGTGCTTGGCAAAAACTGCTGCCAGAAAACTAGGCATACTTTTCAAGGTCAGGCGGTACTTCACACCTGAACAGCTTTTAAATCTGTATAAAGCACAAGTTCGATCCTGTATGGAGTACTGCTGCCACCTTTGGGACGGCTCTGCCCAATACCAGTTAGCTGCCTTGGACTCGGTGGAGCGTAAAGCAAAGAGACTTATTAACAATAATCCTCTTGTGGAGTCGAAGCTCCAAAATCTCGATCATCGCAGAAAAGTAGCCTGCTTGTCGGTTTTCTATCGGATACATTTCGGGGAGTGTGCGCAGGAACTTTTCAATTTGGTTCCGCCCTCACCGTTCCTCCTTCGGTCGACTAGAAGGTCCGGAGCACTCCATTCTTATGTCGTTGATATTCCACCTATTCGCACTAAGCGCTTTGCCTCCTCCTTTCTGATGCGTACGGCAAAGGAATGGAATGCTCTACCTATGTACTAAATCTATGATGTGTATTGTTAAAAATTAACAAACTTCACTCGACCGCGTATCACCATGAAACTATAGGTTCGTTAGAGAATACATATAAAAGTTTAGGAGCGTTTCTTAGGATACAGTATAGTAATAATTCGACTGATTGGTGCACTTGGCTACCATTTTGGTGTTTGTCATATAATACGACCGTACATACCGAGACACAATACACTCCATACGAACTAGTGTTTGGAAAACTTTGTAATTTGCCAAATAATTTGTTGTGTTCTGATGTAGAACCTTTATATAATCCTGATGCTTATCCTTTACAATTCAGATACAGGCAGGGCTGGGCAGTATTTGAATTACTTGTATTTGAAATACGTATTTAAAATACAAATACGTATTTTGTATTTGTATTTCAATTACTCCCTAAAAATGTATTTTGTAATTGGTATTTCAAATACCTGACCGTAATGTATTTTGTAATTTGTATTTCAAATACTTTCGTTGCAAAATACATTTCAACAAAATACTTTTTTCTTTTCAATGTACAGCCTATTTTGTGACGTGCATAGATTTATATCAGTGTTGGGCATTGATAATGATAATATATTTATTGCAGTTTACATAATATAAATAATACAAATTTTACACTATATTACGTATACATGTAATATACTGTAAGGGCATAGCAATATAAAAACTTATATATGGTTTATATTGTGGTATGTATTGGCTAAACTTAAATATGGTTTAATTACATTTCAAGCCTTAGCAATAATTATTATTACAAAATTTCTTATTATATTTCTTATCATATATATAAACATATTATTAATTGTACAATTATGTGTTATACTAGTTTTAATTCGACCATAATAACATTGAATTTACTCCATTATATAACATTTTATCTACTTCATTTTATTTATTTGTTCACATAGGTACAATGAAAGACATATGAATCCTGTAACATGGATATGATAATAATGGACAGCAAAATAGGAATGAGGCAGATCAACGCTATAGCAATTTATCATCAAGATATTGTTGCACTGTATAGTAAGTTTTATTAGAAAGAATGTTTTTTAAGTTATTTATAAAAATACTTGTTTTATTTTCTTGCTTTATATGCTCCGGTAGTTTGTTGTATTATTTTTATCGACATTGAATGTGGGCTCGATCTATGCATTTCCAATTTTGAGAACGGTGTTACAAGATTATTTCCGTATCTTGTGGGATGGTGTCTTGGTTCGTCTCGCAGTTTAGTGTAAAATTGTGGGTACTTTTTTATAAATTTGCAAACTTCCAAAATGTAAATTGATGTTAGGGTTAAGATTTTGTATTTTCTAAAGAATGGTTCACAGCTCTCTGTTCTTGATATATTTGCTAGTATTCTTACGCAGTTTTTTTGTTTAATAAAGAGGTCATTTACAGTTGTACTATTGCCCCACAATATGATGCCGTATGATAGCCATGCATAAGCGTACGCATAGTAAGCACTTAGGGCAGTTTGTAAATTTGTTGACTTCTTTATTTCTTTTAAGGCGTAAGTAAAACTAGATAGCTTTTTTGTGATTTTTTGTACATGCTGCTTCCAATTTATATTTGTATCGATATATATTCCGAGTAAATTAAATGTATTGACGGTTTCTATTTGTATTTGGTTATACGAAAAATTAATATTTAGTGATGGTTTTTGATAGGGTCTAAATTCTATAATTTTGGTTTTTGTGAAGTTAATTTCTAAATTGTGATCATTCATCCATGTTACAATTGTAGTTAGTGTATTATGAAGGGTTTGATTTAAGTGGTCACTATTTTTACAAGAGGTTAATATTGAGATGTCGTCAGCGAAAAGAACACATGAATCGTTTATTACTTTTGGGAGGTCATTTATATAAGCCAGGAATAGTATGCACCCAATGACGCTTCCTTGTGGTATTTGTAAGTCGCAAGTGTAGTTGAACGATTTTTCCGAAAACCATTATGCGACTCATCAAATATATTGTACTTTTCACAGAAAGAGCGAGAGGCGGCTACACATTGCCTTCTCAAATACTTTCGAAGCCGCGGGCAATAATGCAATCGGTCTGTAATTACTCAGATCATACTTACTTCCTTTTTTGAGGATCGGTTTTATCAGGGATTGTTTAAGAAGATCCGGGAACACACCCTCGGGAAAAGACTGATTGACAAGCGTATAAAACGGAAACGTCAATTCGTCTGCACATACCCTTATAAGCGCGGATGGTATCTCGTCTATTCCATAGCTGTATTTATTTTTTAGATTACGTATAATTACGTTTATTTCGCGCGGTTCGACCGGGCTCAAAAAAAAATGTGGAACGCTTCACGATTTTGCGTGTCATCCTTGCGCAGGGGCCATGCTAATCTTCTCTGTATCGTTCCAATTTTAGTATATGTACTGCCGAAGCAAGTACGTTAATCAATTAAATTTAAATCAGATTAAAAAATCTATTCAATTGCAACTGATTTCGATTGAATTGATTTTAATTGCAATTAGATTAATTTTATTAGTTGTTCTAAGAAACAATTGAAACTAACAATTAAAACCGAAACTATCAAGTAAAAGTGTCATCACGAATATGGGTTAGGGGATGGGTTTGGGGTGTGTTAGGGGGTCGGTTAGGGGGCCGATTGAGGGTCGGTTAGGGGTCAGTTGGGGGTCGGTTAGGAGGTTAGTTAAGGGGTCGGTTAGGGAGTCGGTTAGGGGTGCTGGGGGTGGTTCGGGGGTCGTTTAGGGGGTAGGTTAGGGGGCCGGTTGGGGGGTCGTTTAGGGTGTCGGCTGGGAGGTCAGATAGGGGGTAGGTTAGGGTGCGGTTAGGTGTCGGTAGGGGGTCGGTTAGGGTCCGGTTGGGGGGTCGGTTGGGGACCGGTTAAGTGGTCGGTTGGGGTTCGGTTAGGGGGTCGATTAGGGAACGGATAGTGGTCGGTTGGGGGGTCCAAACCGACACCTTAACCGACCCCCTACCGACACCTAACCGACCTCCAACCGGACCCCCTAATCGAGCCCCTATCTGAGCCCCCAACCTTCGTGGTGGTGTTATATGTGAAGAACTACATACAAAAAATATATGTAATTAGATTGAAGTCGTTGTAAATGACGAAGTAAATGCAAGTGATCAATCACTTTTTTGCAAAGAGCATCTATTATATGTATGTATGTGTATATGTGTGTGTGTGAGTGCGTGTGTGTGCGTGCGTACGTGCGTGCGTGCGTGCGTGCTTGCCTGCGTGCGTGCGCGCCTGCGTGCGTGCGTGCGTGCGTCCGTTTGTGTAAAGCGGAACGTTCAAAAAATGAAGTATGAAATTATTTGATTTTTAATTCGGGACTTAATCACGTATAAACATATTTTATTTACCTCGACTTTTCGGACATATTGCAACGTCCATGGTCTCGCAAGGACTGAAGAGGCGGGTGTCAGCATCTTCTAGTTGTGCGAGTTTTTCTAACTACCCGCACTTTATCTTCATTACTTATTTGTGCACTAGGGTTCTCACTACACCGACACACAACACTCACGACATCTTAAATACTCGTATTCAATGCAGTAGAAGCACATTTGCAGGTGGCAACAGTGCATGGTATTGTCAAAGACGTCAAAGTCATCTTTTCGCGGTTATAATTTCGCGGTTATGATATGAAGATCATAGCACCTATTTCTTCAGTGTCTGATGCAATCTTGCTTCAAGAAGACCTTAGTAGGCTCGACACCTTCTGTACCGATAACCAACTCGACCTTAATCCGTCTAAGTGCACTGTCGTCACTTTTAGTCGTAAAATTAACTTAATACAATTTAACTATTCACTGAAAGACATTACTTTGCAACGCGATACTGTGGTAAGGGATCTTGGTGTGTTTCATGATCATAAGTTACTATTTGCCTCCCACATCGATTCGATCGTTTCAAAAGCCTCAAAGAGTCTTGGATTTGTGATGCGTAACTCCAGAGATTTCCATCAGGCTAAGACACTAAAAATTTTATATTGCTCACTTGTACGCAGCCACCTTGAATACGCATCGCAGGTGTGGAGCCCGCAGTATCTAACATATATATCACGAATTGAAAACGTGCAAAAGAGATTCATTAAATATTTATGTTATCGAACAAGGGAGAGGTATGATTCAAGCCGGTATCTTGAAATATGTAGGAAACATCATCTCTTGCCACTAGAGAAGCGACGCCAGATTGCAGACTTAGTATTCTTAAGAAAAATTGCTTCTGGTGCAGTAGACTCCCCAGAACTTGTGTCCAAGATCTTCCTTAGAGCCCACACAAAGACCCTTAGGTTTAATTCGCCTTTACATATACCTTCGGCCTCCTCGAACTATCGGCGAAATGCATATCTCTTGCGTGCTGGTAACAGCTTTAACCAACTATCCAGACAGGTTGATATAGACCTGTTTAACACTAGTGTTGCATCGGTGAAGCGTCTAATGAGTAATTTGTTTTTTGATAGGAAAGTGAATTTGTAAGTGTTGTATATTTACCCATAGTTCGTAATGCGTCATAATAGTTTAGTTGTAATTTAACGCTCAATAATTTCAAATCAAAATGTATCTATCGGCGAGGACCTATAATTGGCTCACCATTATTATTTAAGTTTTTTATTCTATAAGATAGCCGTTGGTCTTCCAATAAATAAAATAAAAATAAAAAATAAAATAACTTAGAGTAGCAGGGTTCTAGGGTTATAGCCGCCATTTTGCGGTTGGTTTAAATTGCACATTTGCATCCTTTATAGGCCGAGTAGATAGGGATAACGTATCGCGTGAGCGACTAATTTGTGTTGTGAACATGTTATGAATGGCATTTACACGTATATACAGTATTCGACATGTCTATACATGTCCTATGAATATTAATAATAATTATACGTACTTCGTGCTCTGAAGTATGGTTGTATTGGTTTAACAGTTTTTTTCTGGTAAAACTGAATATTTAAAACTTCTTTTTCAAGATATGTATTGTGGAAGGAAATCCTTTGAAGGAAATTGTTGGTTTCCACATGTCGCGATAAGTATACTAATAAAGTATTTTGTAATTTGTATTTGTATTTTGTATTTTAAATACACCCCATGAAAGTATTTTGTATTTTGTATTTCAAATACACCTCAAGAAAGTATTTGGTATTTTGTATTTTAAATACATTTGAGGAAGTATTTTGTAATTTGTATTTCAATTAAGATGTAGCATGTATTTTGCCCAGCCCTGGATACAGGTTACAACGAGCACAGGCTGACGCTAGAAATAATGATTAGATGAGAAAAGTTTAAGAAAGATAATTATAAGAAAATATAAGAAAAATGATTTATTTTTGTTGAAAAACCAAGTAGGAAGTAAGTTACATAACATTTATTTAGGGCCATATGTTGTTACTGAAGATTTGTCACCAAAAGTTAAAATTTTGAAAGATGGCAAAGAATATATAACACATAAGAATAATACTAAATTGTTGGTAATTTAATGAGTTAACTTTTGTTTAGTAATTATTAAGATTTTCTTGTAATTAAATTTAAAAAAATGTGTTTTAACAAGTAATACGCAACACACTTTTTTCATTGAAACCTATATATAATAAAAAAATAATGTAGTATAGATAGTCTATATTTATAGTCTAACTGCAACATGTGGTGGGTATTGCTTGGTTAGCACTTAAGTTTACTTTTATTTTAAATTGTATTATTTACTTACTTATATTCTGGAGACCGAACCCACAAATGCATTTTTGAAGGTGAACAACGTTGACCCAAATGAGCCATCCCTCGTACAGTCCCGACATGGCACCTTGTGACTTTTATTTATTTCCAAAAATTAAGAACTAGTTACGCGGTTATCGATTTTTATCACCTGAAGAGGCTGTCGAAGAGTATGAAAAATCTGCTTCAGAGATTGTCACGGAGGACTGGCATAAGTTTTCAAAATTGGTTTATTCGTATGAAAAACTGCATTAACGCTATTAACGGAGAATATTTTGAGAAACAATAAATTCATTTCTGACCATTTATAGTATTTTTTTCTTATTCATTCCGGAAACTTATAGTGCGCCTTACGTAATATCATTTAAAATAATATCGTCGAAAAAAATTAAATATGGGTTACACCCCTTTGCGCTGATAGCCTCAATGTTTATTAAAATGTTGTCAATAAAACTATTAAGTACTTACTCAATTTAATAAATTAGCACTTAAAAATTAGTCTATGCTTCTACTGCAACATAATGTTTTACATGGTTGCCACACATCTATCATTCCGGCACTTTTCAACACCTGCTGACAGCAGGTGTCTCAGGTTTATAACCCACTACCTGAGTATAGTTCTTTTATGCTACGAATAAATGAAATAACTGTTCTTTGATCTTATAGTTTGGAAGCGAAGCAGGGTTGATCAAGTGTTAGTCGATAAATGAACGACAACTTAAAATTTCAGAATGAAACCTATAAAATTATGTCTAGATCACTGAAGCCACTTTTATTATTGATTCAAAAATTTGATCAAATTAAATGGAATGCACTTTAGCTAACAATAAATAACTCGTACAGTCTTCTTTTTGATCTAACCACTCTAACAGTTGACGCTCCTTAGGATTCTGAAACAAAAGACATTCCTTATGAGAGTTAATTATAACACTCGGTATATATTATCATTTGAAGAGATTTAAAGCTAATGTTAACGTTAGGTAACCTTTTAGCCCACTCCAATTTAAAAAAAAAATAGAATTAAAAACTCTTAGGTTTTCGCGATTGTTACACATAGGAAATGAAACTATTTTTCCGGATTTAAATCGCGTATATTTGTTTTTTCAAACAAACCGACGTTTCGGGCCCTTTACAGGTCCCATGGTCACGGTTGACTCATGTCAATGTCGAAACGTCGGTTTGTTTGAAAAAACAAATATACGCGATTTAAATCCGGAAAAATAGTTTCATTTCCTAAAAATTAAAAACTGTTTACAATAAGGTATCTTCTCAAAGAATACGTATTGACCTTTAATGGACAATAATGGCGTTTACCGTAAAATTAAATGTGAGAATATGATAAGTACAAGGTAACCCGTTTCGCTATATGGATCTCAAAACATCAACTACGGGCTTTACAATGCGATTTCGAAGTGCTTTCTTTGTATGTGCCGCCTACTGCTTCTCTATAGAGAAGTATCAACAACGTCCTGACAAAATTCAATTATTTGTACGCGCACATTTGTGAGTCATTCATTACATATACACATTTAAGATGTGTACATTAAGACAGTATGACATCGAGTATATAACCAGAGTAAATTAAAAAATGTGACATAAGTACATGTCGGCGCCAGCCATTGACCTTTCTAATAACAAAACTAAGTTTTAACCGAATGTTTTCTCTAAAACGCATATAATGTATCATTATTAATACAAAGATCGAACACGAAAAAAAATCCTTCGATCCGGCTGGATCAACGTCTTCCAAATCGTGTCAGACGCTATGCCAACTAAGTCACGGAACGAACTAGCGGACCTTACGAATTTTTCTATGTGCTTGTTGCAGATCTTTGTTTTTAGTTTTTAACGACTTTTTACCGTGGCGCCATCTATAAGAAATCTATTTCTACACTTAGCCAGGTATCTTTTGGAAAATTAAGTCCACATTTGTCTTAAGAAACAGTGTGTAGCAAATCGCTACAAATCTTTTTCTATATATTTTATAATAGTCTCTTTAAGTTTTATACTTAAATTCTAAATTTAAGCGTGATTGTTTTTGGCGCCTCTTTCTTGACTTTAGCTTTTTTTTGCTGTTTTGCTGTGATACCTACGTAGTGTTTTTCTAATGACTTATTAAAAGCTGTAAGTACATTCTTGTGGCCTTGCTCACTCGTTGTTAGATTCCACCCTTTACCCTTTCACCCATTGATACAGTCCGCTATACAGTGTTATTGTAAATATGAAATAAAATAGTATTCTATACAAAACAGTGGAAAAAGGCTTAAGTGTTTTTTTTTTTGTGATACGAAGTGAAGGGATGAATAAGTCGTGCGCCTGGTGGTAAGCGACACCCCTGTACATAATCAGTTGCAATGGTACTCAGAGCTTTAAACCGCAAAGATATGAGGGTTACTGACACTGCGCCCTGAGACATGAGTTTAAAAGTCCCTAATTTTAACAGCACCCTTACATCACGCTCACATATCTGCTTGGCAGCAGAAACCATAGATATAGAAAAAAAGGGCAGACATGTAATGACGCTTCGGCGCAGACGCACCCGCTTCGGCGCAGACGTACGGGGAGAAGGCGTACGCAGTTCGCTGCTCGCCTGATCCCCTAGTGAGGCCAGCGGGCTCTGGACAGGGACTCCGGAGCCTGCATTGCACGGCCTCACTCGTCTGGTGGGCGGGTCGGAGGACAACCGACTCGCCCCTCCGTTGGCGCGGGAGCCCTGGCGCAAGCTAGGGCGGCCGGGCGGCGTCGTGGTGAATGTGCACCGACCCCACGGCGCTGACTCAACCGGCGAGAGGGAAACCGGGGGGGGGGGGGGGGGGGG